AGATTTTAAGTCAACCCATTTAAAGTATTTCTTTAAAAAAAAATCACGATGAGTCTTATACCAAACTCTGCCGCTCTATGAAGAGCTGTTGAAGAAAAGCATGAAAAGTAATAAGATTCAACATTCATTGAAAATAGTTCGTTTTTATTCGGAGTATTGAATTACCTGTTCTTCCCTGATAATCTTCATGAGTAACATCCGCTCCTTTGTGAATAAGCAAGTCAACAATTTTGGCCTTTGCTACAAATAAAAATTTACAATGACAGATCGAAAATATAAATTGTTTCCAGTGATGGTTTTTTCCTATCTGAATAGCGCTAGCTATTCGCAGCGTGAGCTCACAGAGTATGATACACTAATACAATAGTCAGTATACAAACGCATGTCGAACAGAGAATGAACGCGAACGTATATGCTCTGTGTGGTACAAACGAAGTGTGTTGCGCGTGCGGCAACCGCTACGATTCAGCATCTGGGCAGAAATGCTGTACAGGCGCTGCAAATAGCTAGCGCTATTCAGATAGGAAAAAACCATCACTGATTGTTTCTTGCAATTTATCACCAGCATCTCCAACAGCATAGTAAAAAGGAGTCTTTCCCAACTCATCTTCTTTATTCACATCTCCGCCATGATTGATTAGGTTTTCTGCTATATTTCTGGAACCTGAATAATAAGTTTAAATCAATCATTTCACGCTTTTGGGCCATTTTTTAAAAACTAGCCAAGTATTCATAGTTCTCACCATTGAGTGATGCAAAATGAAGCGGTGTCAACCCATTCTTATTTGCTGTGTTTAAAGTAGTAAAATGTGGCTGAAACAACAAATATTGATATAAATGTTGACGAATGGAAACTAACCTTCATTGGGATTCGCCTTGTTTTGGAGTAGTACATCAGTGACTTTTTCAAACCCTTGGTAGAAAAAAAAACAATCGAATTTATCAATTTGACGATTTATTTGAACCTACATTACAGTTCATACCCGTTTGAGCAGCATAGTGGAGTGCCGATTTTTTCACATTATCTAAAACATTAACGTCAGCTCCTTTTTTAATTATAGCCTCAGCAATTTGCTCTTTACCTAATTTTGATTTCATAAAAAATGTAATCGATTTTATGATTTTCCATTATTTGCGGTAATTAATTTCACATTTACCAAATTCAGCAGCATAGTGGAGCTTTTTTAAAAATAAAAAAAATTATTTATTTATAAATAATTTAAACGTACCGAAATTATGCTCAAAGTGTCACACAGCTAGCGCCACGACGGAATTCAATGTAATCTATACTAAGTTGCCGCCAACTAGTGAAAAGACTTTTGCTCAGTTACAAACAACTGACTAGAACTCCATAGTTGTCCGTAGTGGCGCTAGCTGTGCTATAGTTTTGCATTTTATACAGTCTCTTATAGAACATAATTGCAGTGTGAATTTAAATAATTCAATTAATTTATCGTCTTACCGCAGTCTTTCCTTCATTATCAGGTATGTTGACATTTGCGCCTCTGTCAAGCAACAAACTTGCAACTTGATCTTTACCTATTTTTGGTTCATTTTAATTCCAATGTCAATTGTGGTCACAAGCTAGTTAAATACATGATAGCTTACCGACTTCAATAGCCGTTTGCAAAACTGTTTTGTGTCTTTCACTGTTTCCATTGATATTGGCACCATATTTAAGCAATGTTTCGACCATGTTGGTGTCACCTTTTTCAGTCGCGTGAGTCAGATGTGAGTCAGAAGGATGCACCCTTCCCTTATTCATCAGCAATTCAGCTATTTTCTGTTGACCTAGTTATGCTCTCATTATTGTTACTATTGAAATATGTAATTAGTCAAATCTTAAGTTACCTAATTTAATAGCCCAATTTAATGCACCATTTTTAACTGTATCGCCGACTTCGCGGTTTTCAATGATGTTTTGAACCTTATCGACACTTCCTGTTTGAAGTATTAAAATCTGACTGAAATTCTCAAACAATAACGGTTGATATAAATTTTGCAAATGAATACTAACCTTCTTTGATTGCTGTAAAAAGTCTACCTCCCAAAGTTGATGCAGTGCTGACATTGTTATTAAATAAGAAATATTGTAATATAAATTGGTGCTTTTTATCTAAAAAATTATATGCACTGCTGAAAAATTTGCAATTCACTTACTTTTGTAATAGGTCTGTTCAAAGGAAATAGTGCAAAATTACATTTAATCAAAAGAAATTTCAATATCTCACATAATATTTACCATTTTGCGGAAGTGCGCCGCTTAAAATAATGCCAAAACAGAAAATTAGTGCAGTGGCAGATTTCATTTCGCACGCCTTGAACTTCACAATTCTGTGATTTAAAAAAAAGGATTAGATTATGCTGCGATTCATGTGTATTGGTGAGCAACGTCAATGGCTAGCAAATTTATGATTGTTAACAAGTGTTTTTTTGAAGGTCGCGTGGAAATAAAATACGAAAGAAAATATAAATAAATCATATCCACAAATAGATGTGGAAAGAGTTTTATTAGAGAAAATGTTTATTCTGTGTATAACGAATCTGTTGAAATCGGAGAAAGTGAAAATGATTTTTCGTCTAAATTATTAGAATACAACGTCATCAGCATTGTTTTAAATTCATTTTGAAGATTTGCTGAGATTTGCTTGGGGTTTTTTATTTAAAAATAATATGCAAAATCAATGAGAGGATGTGAAGACTTCAAGTCTCTTTGAGCCGACGGTGGCGCACCGAATTTCAAAGGGGACGTCAATGTAATTTTACAACTCAAATCGAAACTAAACAGCGCGCCAATTTTAAAATTTGCTGTCATTTCCTCCCATTGTGCACAATCAATTGAGATAAAGGCTGTCAGTGGATATAATAAGAAAAATTACATAAACCACAACACTTATATCATAATAAATATCAAAAATTATTTTTTTTTCGCAATTTATTTGTTCGTTTCGATACCAATAAGTATATAAAATCTGTAATTTCTCGTACGAATTCAACGTCAATTAGGTTTTCATTCAAATTTTCTTTTAGTATTTTTTCGATCACTTATTGACTCCATTATGTTTGTTGGTATTTCACACATTTTAACAGAAACAATTTAAAAAGCTTCCCTTTAAAGTAAGCAAAAGATTTTGATAATTTTGCGGAATTTTCGTAAATATTATTATAGCAATAGAAAACTCACTAAAATTTAAGTCTGCTTAGTTTGTCACCGTAAATTCACTGGCACGATATGAAAATGACTGATTTAGATTAGTGAAAAAGTCAACCGATTCATTCAGTGGGATAAATAGAATGATGATTCCGACGATGTAAGAAACGAAAGATAAAAATAGACTGATCTTGATCATTGTCAAGAATATACTGTATAAACATATTTATTATATATATTTATTTCATTTTTGAGTGTTTTATACCACTTATTGCATCGTTTGGGCATTTATAAAAAAATGATTTTGTTAGGAATGCGCTTTACGCATATAATTTTTATAATTACTTTGGAAGGATCTCAAAAAGAAATTTCTATTTCTAAATATCTGGAATTCAGTAATATGCGGATGGATCTAAGGTAGGTTGGAAAATTCCTTTCAATTTGCTTGATTTTTTTTTTGCGAAAAAAATATGGCCACAATGGAAATGTCACAATTCAAAAACCATTGTGTAAGCCAAGTGCAACGCCTCGTTTAATCCAGTGCGCTAAGCTTGTGCCTTCTTGGACAGGTAACCAAATGCGTGTTATTAGGGCGCCATTTGTGGAAATTCCTCGTTTCAGATGATAGTAGACAGGACACTCATAGCGATTACCAGCGCTGAACTCCTTAATTTGAATCGGCTGTGAAGTTTCCAATTAAGATTAAAAATCAGTCTTTAGAAGAAATTCATTAAAATACCAGACACCTTAAGATGAATCATTGGGAATGGTTCAATTGATTTGTTAGTCATTTGCTCTTCAATAAAACTTCCATTCCAATGGGCTGACTCCAAATAAAAGCTATATATGGAATAGCCTTCATTCGAACCATCCAGACTCCTGTATTGAATATCCCGTGAATTAGATCGAAAAAATAAGTAAATAGGTGCTCCCTGTTATACCTATCATTATTAACAACAGTATAATCTATTGTAATCTCTTCCAATGGCACACTGTATTTACGAGCAAAATCAAGTTTAATGGCAGTCAAAAAACTGGATGGCCTAAAAAACGCCGATAGCCAATATGATTTGAGCATATCACCAGACAACCACCAATTTTGAATCCATGTCAATCGTTTACAAAAATCAATCAGATATGATGCCACGCCCTTTTCACTTGCATAGGAGATTTTTCGCCATTCATGCGGAATTTCGTCGATCATAAGACTTTCTAAAATACATTCCAATTCGGGTGTTAACGTGAGGTGTCCTGTTTGAAGGAAAAAAAAATTGTTTGAAATTATATGAAGCAACTAGATAAACGCCAACAAACCTTGAAGTGCTTGTTGTAGCTCTGTGCATGTTTTTCGAATGATTTTCAATAATTTATTGAACATTTTCAATTCCGAAGTCAAAACAATGTTCAATGATCTTTCGTAGGAAAATTCAAAACTATTTGGTTTGTTACAGTCAATTGGGTGTGGTAGTTTTGCAATTATGTCGGTAAGATTCACTAAAAATTCAACCTCGTCCAATGTACTTGTCGTTTTAATATCATTGGCAATTTTCATTTTGGTTAGCAAAGCATTTGAAGTCTTTAATTTAAATATAAAGTCGGAGTTTTCATGAAGACCATAAACTCTACAATTGGATTTCACAGGAATGGTTTCTTCGATGAATTTGACAACAAATCGATGTTCATATCGTAGTGGTAGCGTATATACGTCAAGTGAACTGATTTTATACGGTGGCCCTTCGAGTATTCTCCCATTGAATACGTCGTTCAAAAGCGTTTTCAACAAACGCTTATCGTATTCATCAACGATTAAACCTCCGTAAATGCATTCGCTGATTATGTAGTGAAGCGTTTTAAACGGAATGAATTTGCCATCGCCCAAAAACATTTGCAATTGTTTTGCCGATTGTGTAAAATCACTGATGCCAAATTCATACGCAACATTCCATCCAACGCTGCCATAATGTTTTCGCTCATTTACAATCGCATCGAAAAATGTGAGCGAATAAAGCATTTGCTTGAAGAGTTTGTCTTGCTTCGGACAACTATCATAGAATTTGCTATTCAATAGTTTTGTTTGATACGAATTGAGTAGGCTGTTTTTGAGGCCTTTTGGATTTTCATAGGTCATTTTTACACTGTTTTGAATGAGATTAAGCGGGAATGTTGTGGTCGGTTCACTAGTCATCCATAACCGGAACGAGGCTGGAAAAGGAAAAATACGGTTGAATGAATGTTGATTTCATTTTATCTCTTTGAAAATTAACTCACGTGTGGTATTATAAAAATTGATATTTTTCCACATAATCTCAAGTTTTGTCAGCCAGTCGGTGTTCAAATGACAATTTTGAAGACAAATCCAAGATCCTTGTTTCTGAGCTTTGTTCAGTGCAGCTTCGGTGTGATCACCTTGCGCAGTGCCCAATGAAATCATTTGCATCGATTGTGAATAACCCAAACGTTCAGCAAACATCCAAAGTGTGTCGATTGGATCGACACCGGGCGACAGTATGAAAATCAACGGTGTTAGAATATTTGACTCTTCGAAAGATTTATGAATGTCGAATATCGGCGGGCTGACAAATTGTGCACCCATTTCAGTGGCTATAAAATCAGTCATCGCCTGCGTTATGAGCTCCGGATGGAATATTTTCGATATCAACAACTTTTCAAATGATGAGAATCCATCAACTAAATTCGATGGCGGTTTATCATCATCTCCGTAATAATATGCTTTCCACTCAACGATATGCGCTTCAAATAATTCAAGCAGATTATTTCTTTCAATCACTTCACCCAACTTATGCAAATCGCACCATATTTTTTCGGTGATCCATTCATGGTGTTCTGGTTTTTCGGCAAGTGGACCAACAAAACCATTGTCACCGTTGACAAAAAAGTTCAATTGATCTTCTTTTAATTTACCATTTGTGATCAACACTTTGGTCGTAAATATCCACGAGAATAAAAGTTTGTCGGCATTAAAAATGGAGCGACAAATATTATTATAAAACTGATTGGTAATTGATTTTATTAAAAAATCAATTCGACGCTGTTGATCTCTTGATCGATTTGCTTTTTCGATAGAAGTATTATACAGCATCAGATACCAATCCAAAGAGAATTCATACATTGGATTTATGAAACGCAATTGATCCAAACAACAGTACAGATTGGCTGCGTACGACGCCACCTGTCGGTAGCTTTCACGAAACGTTTCGATTTTGTGTTCGGCCTCAATATAAATTGATTGTTTCTGAATCACTTCGAGATAAAGTTGTTTTGAAGCATCCATTTTTTTGATGGCCGTCTCATCTTCCAGAATATCACTCTCACTTTCGGCGATCACCGATAAAATGGCATTTTCATGTTCAATTATTTTTGCCTTGTCGCGTAGCTTGTTGTGCAGCAAATCATCACGTTCCTCACGCAAATATGGATTCTCTTTCAACACCAAAATATCCAGTAAATTTTCTTCGAGACCATTCGATGCAAAAATAAAATTGATTATATTCAATTTTCCGCTGTAGTCGCTCATGAATTTCAATGTTTTTGCGATTGACGTCAAATACAATCGAAAACCGCTGGCAATTTTAATGGTCGTTCGTGAATTTAGACGAATTGTATTTTCAATACATTTTGATATGCGATAATTGAAAATTGGCTCCAGACAAATATTCAACGATTCAACAACGTCTTCGATTAAAATTGGGTGGCCGTCTCGCATACAATCCAGCAATACATTGAAATATGATGGATCCGATTGTTTAACCACTTTTAAGTGTTTTCCACTTTCCATTTGTTTGATCCATTTATTGGCTTGTTGCTGTGGATCAAGGAATAAACATTGTCGACAAGAATTTGCCATCAGAATGCCATTTTCAACCGAAAATTCATCGGCGGCCAATCCAAACATGTGCCAATCTTGGATTTGTGCACGTTTCCCCAAACATGATGTCAAATTGAATTTCTCCGAACACGGAATATCGATTGATACACAAAATTCGTGCCATTTTCGAATAGAATTTTCACGATAATGTTTTGGAAGGACACCGAGATAGGCGATAATGCCACATGAAATCAAAACATCACCGGGAAGGTGATCGAGAAATTTTTGCAAAAGAGCTGCCCTCTCAGTCCATCGACTTTTCTCTTGGCCCAAACTACCGATCAACGCTTCAGCACGCTGTAATTTCTGCTCACACATTGCTACTTCACGTTCGGTCCGCTCCTTTTCCAAATTGGTTCTTTCCAATTCGGCGTTTAGTCCTGTCACCTTTTCTTCTAATTCGGCGGCAAGTGCTCGTTTTTCTGCCAAAAATTTGCGCGTCTCCTTTAAATTTTCTTTTGCATTCATTAATTTGAATTTTTTGGGCAAAACCACCGTATTCACCGATTCGAAATTCTCAATTGCTTTGATCCATTTACATAATCCTTCTGCAGCACTTGAGGCTTTGGCAACTAAATGAATGAATGTACATTAACATTGAATATTATCCAAAATATCAAACTGACGCTTACCAATGTGAGGTTGAAAATCCTTGTGCGGTATAAAATCCTTGCGAATCTTCTTCATGATGTCCGGACTGATGTCATCCTTGTCATAATCCTTTAGTGATTGCAGAAAGCCCATGTCGCCGAGAATTCGTTTGCTTGGTCCCCAGTAATCGACGATTTTTTTACCTATCAAAAAGTCAAATTCTCTTGCTTATTCATCGAACTTTGTGCAATTCAAAAGTGTCTTACCGCTAGCTGCATCATTGATTCGATCCGGTGCCACGCCCTTCATAACACAAACTGCAGCCATAACAAGTTTAACGGCACTTGGTGGATTTTTCATTGATTTCACAAGAGTAATGTCAGCCGGTTTCAATGTGTTAAGTGCCTGCAATGCGTCTTCAAGCACAGGAACAGCCTGAGCCAAATCCTTTGAGCATTCATCTTCCATGGATTCAGCGGCAGCTGCTTGTTCATTCGCCACCAGTTCATCGCGTTTCACTTGTTCTGTTGCAACACTAGCTTCGATCGTTTTCAGCTCAATCTCCGTTGTCATTTGTTTACAATCTAAAGCCATCGCACGAAGTTTCGGTTCCAATTCACTCAATTCGGTTTGCATATTTTCCACTGCTTTTGCCGCCTGTAACAAAAATGTAAAAATATTAGCCAAGACAATAACCAAATTTTGATTAAAAATATGTTCAGAGATACTACCATCTGAAGTGTATTCAAGCCACTTTCGTATCTCGATTTGGCCGTTGTGATCTCGGTTTGTTTTTTAATATAGAGCTGCGCAAAGCATCGCATCAACTCCAAATACGATGCTGATGACACATAGAAACAGTTGCCCGTTTCTTCTCGATATGAATTTACCGCGCCTTGAGCCGTTGTGTGAATGTATTTGCATGCAATGGTTATTGTTTCGATTATTTCCATGGATAAGTCAAGATTTGAGAGAAACTTTGACGCAATCATTTCCAAGGCTTCTTCAGGCCATTTATCGAAGAAATCAATGGTGCAACAATTTACTAGCGTCGGATAGAGTCGAATGTAATTTCTCAATTTCGGTCCGACCGAATTGAAACTGAGCACAATGTGCAGATTTTGGCGACAACGATTGACAAAGAATGTAAATACCTCATCAGCACTTATATCGATGTTTCGATTTCCGCCCTGTGCGACAAGTCGCACCATTTCTAGTAGCTCCTGTTTCTCATCGATTGGCCATAAGTTTGGCACATTTCCAGAATTTAGTAAATATTCGACGTCGATTAGAAAGGCATCATGTTTTAATTGGCTCTCCGATAAATACAGGCAGGTTTGTTGACCCATTCCGCCGGCTGATTTTAAAGCCGATTTTATATCTTCACGCCATGCTTTTATGCCATAATCTTCGATGGTGTTTAGTTGAAATAGCTTTTGCTTGCATATCATCGATGCCAAGCGTATCAATGATCTTCGTCCCGAATCGATGTTTCCGATAATCAATCCACTTCCTCCCGGCATTGAAATTATTCGGCAAATTCGATTAAGATGCTCCAAAGCATACGTAAATAGAATCACATTCAATTCAGTCTTGTCATTTTCTTTGTACTCATTTAGGGCGGTATTAGCCACTGCAGTTAGTTTATCGAAATTAGTTATTTCTTCATACTTTCGAACTGAAATGTATGACTCAACATCCAAATACGAACCGAACGACAATTTTTTGATACTTTCAATCGATACAATGCCATTTCCATTGGTGTACGATTCAAAAATGATTTCCATGCTATCCTTGAATGTGCCACATGTGTCGTTAATTTGATCGGCCAGAATGCTGAATATCCAATCTTTTTCACCAGACTCTATCAAACGATCGTGAAAAACTCGCAATGATTCGTGAAACCAAATTTTGGCAAACATTTTCTTATTTTCAACCGATTCTTTGCGCAGCAAAGAGCAACCACTGCACACTCGTAGTATATCCCGCATATCAAATCGATAGTGTGGTTTGGACGGTGTTGGCTTTAATTTTTCAACAATTGCCGCATAGACATGCATGGTCGCGGCCACAATTTGATTTACACTCCCTATAACATCAGCTGCATGACCTCCTTTTTTATAGCCATTCATTAAAATGCCATTTGCAATGCGTACATGTGTCTCTTCGGTGGATTCATTCACCGAAAAGCAATTGAAGTGGATCAAAAATCGACTATTGACCTCTTGACATCGGCCTCCGACTCCACATGCAGCCAGTATCAATGTATTGCTTAGAAATATTTTCGATGTACTTTTCAAGTCGAATACGTATCCATAGTCGAAAATTTGTCGCAGTAATTCAATCGATGAATGTGATCCAATATGTTCATCGATCGGAACATTCAAATCGTCTATGAATACAGCACAGGTCATACCTTTGGGCGGACCATACACACCACGCTTCAATTTAATCAACTTGCTCAACAATTCCTCGTGCACATCGCTGGCTTTTGTACGTTTGTTGAATGTGACGAAACCGGGCGTGAACTTCTTCGAATCAACTTTACTTCGCAACATATTTTGCATCATATATGTTTTTCCAGTGGCTGACGGACCAATTAATAACACATTTTTTCCATACTGAAAACGAAAATGTATTTTCAAAAAAAACTGTTTGAAACATCGAGCAACATCTAACCTTCATGTGCATCTCCACCAAATGGGAATATCGAGCTGTGTCGACTGTTGCCACCTGAACACCATATTGATTTATTTCGGGCTCTTGACGTCGCACCAAATCGGCCCACAATTTCCAAGTTCCCTTTTGTTTGAACACATAGTAGTAATCATTCAGGTAACCTTCACTGGGAATGGATACATCAATACGATTTTTAATACTCGTCGGCGGCGCATATTCTTCATGATCACTCCAAATCTGAAATTTATTTTTTTTATTTATTCATTTTTTGCCAAATGAATTTTCTATCGACGTCTCTTTTAGCGCAAAGTAGTTCGTACCCTTTTATGGAACTGGTCAAACTTTGTCCGTGACTCTTCATTCAAAATTCCGCCAATTCCCCAAGTGAATGCAAAGACAACGGCAGCCTGAATCCATGTGATGAGGAATTTCTGATAATCATCTTGATTGATTTCGATTGCATCGTCGATGACCATTTGAATTATATCAAAGGTTGTATTTATCAAATTGTATTTCAAAGGGTCGAATAGATTCGTTCCATATTCGATTACGTAATTTACCACCTGTCGAATGATGGGGATTTTTTTTAGAAATATTTTTCTTAATTGGGAAAAAGAGTCAATACCAAGGGTAGTATCCAATCCAATAAGTCTGTTAAAAACGATCTACACTCATTTATCCATTGTTTACTGCAAGAGTTCATCCAGGCCTTTGCTAAAGTTTTCCAATCCAATATATCCGGTTCAAAGTATACGATCCCAAGGCGTGAAATCTAAATGATATGAATCAGTGTAATAAGACTTTCTTTCAAGTACAATATATATTGTGTACCGTCGATGGTGATGCAAGGTTCAAATTTCCGACTTCAAATAAAACCAATGTGTTGTCTGTCAAATTTAGTACTTCACCCGAACTCAGACATAGCTTTCGATTATCGTCTAGAACCGTGTTTAAATTTTCAATCCACTCCGAGTAAATGGGTCCATCGAATATTATCCATTTGAATAAGTCGTCGGCTTTATTATCAGCAAATCGACGAAAAATTGAGGAAACCACACCATCTTGCCATTCCATATTGATCGGATCGAATTCGCCAAATAAATGTTTTAAATCGATGGCTCTTGGGTTCACAAATTCTACAAACAATACACATTGGTTGAAAAATTATTATACTTTATAAATTATTTCGTACACATACCAATGTCCATGTTATTGTTATCAAGTTGGTGTTTTAATTTGATTGCATCAATCAGCGTTTTGAGCACAAATGATTTTCCCGTATGTGGATTGCCCAACAACATGACTCCCTGCCTAAAGACACTCATTTCATAGGTTTCAATTAGTTTTCGGTATAGTGCTTCAACGGGTTGATAATTATTATCGCTACATTTTCGCTCATATGCTTCACGTAACCAATCATAAGTGTTACTTTCCCTGGAAATGGCCTTTGGAAATAAATCACTGACGATACTTTTGAAGAGGGGTACATCTTTTGGATTGATTTTTGGTAAATTGACGTCTAGCAATGATTGATAAATGAGATTCTCTTCAATTTCATCGGGTTGTGCCAAAATCCGATTGGCGGAAATTCTAAGAGCTATCTTTAAGCTTCGAAGACCTAAAAATTGGAAATTAAATGTTTTTTTTGGCACAAAATTTGAATTTCCTTTAAAACCTTACCAAAATCATAATGAACTTCAGATGGTAGTATCTTTGAACATATTTTATACAATTTGGTTATTTTCTTGGCCAATATTTTTGCATTTTTGTATCCATTTGCAAAGAGTGAAACTTCGGTTATCTGAGTCACGTCCGGCTGCATCATCGAAACAGGACGAAAGAGTGTTTTTAAATTATTTGGCCTGGAAAATGGAAGAAAATTGTGGTTTTAAAGAAAATTGGCTTTGCTTGTGCTATATGATTACCACACAGCAAATATTTACATTTTTGTCCGCGATATATCCAGTGGATTTGACATGATGCATACGTTACACTGTGTGTTAAGTTTCAATTCGACTCCGTCTAACATAAATTTACAATTGGCTTGTTGTTTTCGCATGGCCATTTGAATGGTTCGAATTTGCTGTGAAATTACAGAAATTGTTTTCAATTCAATGCGATTGAAATCTTCGAAGCAAATCCACGCGCCGCTCATTGATATGCCTTTTAACGGGAAAAGAAACACTTAGATTGATGTAATGGGAATTATACTTATTGCAGAGAAAAGGAAAACGGCGCTCATACCCTTTAAAAACCTTGAAATCGATCGAAAGTCCAGATCGGGTGTACAGTCGAATATTTTTAGTTGAGTTGCCAATGCTTTGGATAGGTCCTTAATGGTTTCTGACTTGCCAGTGGCAGTGGGACCCTCGATAGATGCATTCAATTGATGCTGATATGCCAATAAAACTGTACGGTAACATCGCTCCGTAAGCGGAGTCATGACAACACGTTGAAAATTCCCCAAATATTCGTAACCATAAGAGATTGTTGCATTCAGTAATTTCATTGTCACTTCTTTGTCGATCCAATAATATCGCAATTGTGCAATCCATTCAAAGTCATCGATGTCACTGTTTGCATTTGCAATTAATTTTTGCGTAACATCTCTGGCATGAATGTCCTGAATGCAAAGCGATTTCAATGTCATTCGATTCAAGTTTGTAATTCCTGACGATCGAATTGCTTCAACGGTTTCATCCAAATTCGTATTCAGCTCGGAATGAACGTTACTCAACAGATCACGATTTTGTTGCAAAAGTGATGTATGGACATCACTCGACCAAAATATGCTTGCCACCACCAGAACGATCATTTGCGCCCAATTCAATGACCATTCAATTCGCTCTGACGTTACATAGTCCGCATAACTATTGATTATTTCATTGCGAACAGCCAAATACATTTCGTTCTCAACACTTAAGAGCCACTTTTCAACACTGCCACCAGTTTCTGAGATCACAATACGATTTACAAAGTTGACACTTTCGTTAACTGAACTGAGCATTGCGTCAATATTCCCAGATTCATCCATTTGCAACTGATTGATGCCGTTGAAACATTTGCACAAAAATGGCTGAATATTTTGTGAATTCTTTGTTTCCGAGAGTATTTGCAACATTTCGTGATTGGAAAGGAAGAAAAATCGCGGAAAGTATAAACGTTTTCGTTCTAGAAATGCATTAACTCCACTTTTAATTTCATCCAGCATTTCATTGGCCGATTTCAAATCTTCCAACAGATGTTCGGCTTCAGTCATTTTCATTACAATCGGTTCTTTAATTGCCATCTGTAAAAAAAGATCGAATTTAGTTTTTAAGCATATATTTTTATATTCCATCGAATGGAATTACCTCGATGTATTTGCAGTAAATCTCATTAACTCTAGAAAACAACCGTTCTTCGTTTGGCATTTCGACCAAAATATCTTTGGACGATAAAATTGGGAGCAAATAAAGCCAATTGGTTTGAACTTTTAACCATTCGTCGAATATATGAGAGACTCGTAACAATTTTTCGTACCAATTTCGCACACTACGTTCACAAGGTTTGACAAATGCGGAACCGCGCATCGCGAGTGTCTGGATTATGTGGTCATCGAGTAATACCTACAAAGCAAACACACTTATACTCACGAAGTAAGAAATAAAATGTGGTGAGATGATCTTCGAGACTAACTTGAATATCTTCGATGTTTCCCAAAATTGTAATATTGGTGTCGTTGTAAACAGTGATCGGGAATTCAATGGTCTCCCATTCTTTAAACATATCGGCCAAATCCATTTGCAACTTCAATTCCTTGTTGGCACCGATGCTTATTATTTCAAAACTGGGCAGCAAATGATCAATACCAAACTTTGTAATCTTTCGCAACGACGTTCCGGCATCAGGTGTCAAATCGAAACCTGATTTTGTGAAGTTCTTCAACTTATTACTTCATTCGGTCGGGTTTAAATTTAAAAGAAATCTTTACCTGCTATCTCGGACATCTCCACCCAGTGGCGGTCCCTTAATGCCGGATTACACATTATTTGCACAATACTGACGCCGATTTGAAAACCATTTATCCATTCAATCATCTTGCTGCATAATCTTAGTGGGACGGGGTGTTTCTCAGGATCGGGATCTTCAGTTTGACCCTTTTGAAAATTTATCGTTTTTTAAATACACTTTGCTGTGGTAAGACAACAGTTTTGTCACAAAACTGCATATTTCGATTTTAAGATCAAGCAATTTCCATACTTTTTGAATAAAAGTTACTCCCTTCTTGGTTTCCCTTCTTTAAAACTTGAATTTCAGAAAGTATGGTCAAATATGACCTTTTCTCATTAAAAAAAATTTACCCGAAATTTCAGCACTGGATTGCCGAGCATATCGGCTTTGATGCGATTCCGATAGTATTTTTGTGTGGCTTCAAACTCTCTGGTATAAGATTGTACAAGATTTTCAATGGTCATTCGATCTAAATACTCAAACGGTCCATCCATCCAAATGTAGTAGTAACGCAGCCATTCAATGCAAAGTCTGTTAAAAAAAACCAAATTATTAGAGAAAGTTCGCATAATAAAGAGAAAATATGAATTTGGTAGGTACTTGATAAGAGCAGCAAATGGGGTGAGAAAATTTTTAAGTGATTCTACAATTGGATACTGTGAAACAGGCAATTTGAATAGTTTTTCCTCTTTGTTAATCCATTTAATATAATCCTCAAAGCATTTGATTTGTTCCGTATACTCTTCGAGCGTAGCGTAGTAATTGTGCAGTTTGTTCGTGTCGTACATATCATCAATGATAGCCAATTTCGGAATTAGATCATCGATATTCTGTGTTAGTTTTTTGGTCACCGTATTCAAGTGCTCTTCAAATTGATTTTTATAAATTTCAAATTGTGATGAATTTTGCTCGAAAATGTCTTGAATTTTATGCAACCAGTGAATCGTTTCAATTTGCAAATTAAAATGTTCTTCATCAAACTCTCTCAAATCAATTAATCGTCCGCTTGTCTGAAATATGACACATTAAATACAAAGATGCGCAAAATTGTTTGTTTGAAAAATGATTACCTGTAAATTTTTCTGTATATGTTCTCGTATTTCGGCGATTTTTTTATTTTTCATTTGCAGCATAAATTCACCATTTGCCAGCAACGTTTCGGTTGATTTGGGCGCTTCCAATGCACGCCTCTGAACATTTGCAAACCAATCACAAATGCGTTGACAATCATTTTTATGATCGTCTGCTATCTTATCAATGATTTCGTTTATATAATCTTGTGCAATCGTTCGTAGGCCAATCAAAGCTTTACCCTGATTAACAATAGCAATGTCAAAGATTTTATTTTGCACGGTTTTCTGTAATTTTTCGATAAATTGCCGAAAGAACGCAATTTTCTCGAAGTAACTGTCAATGTGTCGCGATTCGCTTAGGAATTCATCCAAATCGAATCGCGTCTCTTCACTAAACAAATCATAATATTCGTCTTCCAATGTTTTGACATAATTCAAAATTGGCGCATACGCATGTTCCAGTGTGACTTCCAACCGATTCAACAGCTGATTGAATGCAATTTCCCCTATTTCAACTTTCAAATACGTTTCGTTTGTTATGAACGCGGTACGATCAATCAACAGCTCCAATGGCGGGAATTTCGTTGCTATGGCAGCAATATTTTTGAATATTCGATGAAATGTATTTCGTAATTCACGAAAACTCGGATGCAACTCAATACGCCCATTGCTGCATGTGGCATAAAACTTTATCGGAGGCATATTTTTGCGTTTTTTCAGCAGATCAAAGATATGTTCGAAGGTCCTTGTCTTCACTTCGGTAATTTGTCGATTGATCAAACCTTTGGCACAGTTCAACATTTTTGGCCATTGATGCGGCGGAAAGGAACGCTTTCGGTAATGTTTCAACATGATTTGAACAATTTTTGGATACCATTCTTCTCGAAGGAAAATGGATTTATTCTCCAAATCACGTTGAGCCGCTCCCTCAAATTCAATCAACATGAGCCAAATACAAATGCCACTTTTAGTTTTCTTATAATTACCGTAGTCATTTAGGACGCGTGGAAAACTCTGATACGAAGAATGCACTATAAATCGAATGAAAGGATATGAAATGAACAGGTTCTCTTTTAGTTGCTTTCGATATCGTAAAAACTTTTTGTGATGGTCGGTTCGTCCGGCCTGTTTGAATTTAAACGAATTCCTTTCATCGTCTGCATTTTCAAGGCCGTGTTCAATCGTTTTTAAGAAACGTCTTACATTGAAGCCTTTTATCGTTTCCAGATACTGTTTTTCAACATCAGCCATGTAGTTTGTTGTTACATTTGAGTACTTTGTACGCAATTTGTTTTGCGTTGAATTAACGATTTTCCGTCGAATGCGTCGCGGCATATTGGGTATTGGGGTGCTGGCGACAGCATCACGGATTTGTTGAATATAATAGATTTTTGGTAATTTTTCAAATGTTTCATTTATTGCACGAAATGGATCAAATAAAAACTTCTTACGATCCTGAAAATATCAACAAACAATAAAAAATCATAATAGCTGCGATAAATATTTGTCAAACTTACAATTTTGGTACGGCGTTTCTTTCGTTTTGTGCCATTTATTTTAGATTTTAACAATGGATTTTTTAAATATGGATCGTTATCAAATCGATCCAATGGAAAATCAAATTTTCGGATATTTTTAAAATGATCAACCATTTTATTTCATCGTTCTTTTAAATTAGGTTCTCAAAATATATTCACCGTCTGTGTTGTGGCTTACTTTTAACTATTGATATAAAATAAACATAAACAATAGAAACGAATTGGAGTTGCCATAGTAACGGTTCATTTGATTTTGCCGGTAAATATAAAAAAGGCTTACCTTAATTTTTCGATCTCAATGTTATGGACAATTTTGTTTTCATAAGCTGGTTTCATTGCTCTTCATTTTCTGCTCTTTAAACTTGCCAATTTTTACAGTATATGCTAACTTTAAGCTTTTATTTATATTTGTTTTATTAAAAATATTATCGAACAATCCGTCAATGTTTCTTCCAAACTTCTCGTTTAGAGCCAATTCAAAAAGACTTTTACTACCCGTATTAGAAGAATTCACGCTTCGTGTATACTCGGCACATCATCGCTGCATCCAATGCATGTGTTTGCTCACAGTCATACACAGTCAAAGAAAGTTCGCACAAAAGAGAATGAAACATTTACATATGGCTAAATGATGATATGGCTTGATGTTTTTTGACCATGTCGCAGTGAATTCTACTGCTGATATTCGCCTAAGCAGCGAAGATGCGCCGAGTGTACACGAAGCGTGAATTCTTCTAATACGGGTAGTAAAAGTCTTTTTGAATTGGCTCTAAACGAGAAGTTTGGAAGAAACATTGACGGATTGTTCGATAATATTTTTAATAATTGTCATTACTTTCAAATATTTTTCCTCTGTTAGGCCCAAAGAAATTAAATCACCTGTTAAATCCAAATAAATCTTTGTATTGTGCTCCAGTTTGTGTTAAAATGTGACCCAAAATTTCGTTGAAAATTCAAAAATAGATAAGCTACTGCTCTAGCTCTCAGAACTTAAGTACTTTTTCATAGAAAAGTACAATTTTGTGTATTTAGTAGTTTTTACGTATTCACTGTGTAATAAAATTTATTGATATCGTTATAAAAACTATTCATGGATTTTATGCAGTTCAACTAAAGAAATCTTTATTTGCAAAGTATTTTGCTCGAATATGTTTGCATACACAATTTGAGTTGAGAAATGAAATCCGACAACCCTAGTTTGAAGATACACTTTATTTAGTCTCCGTTTAATGATATTTTTGTCTTATATTCGTTGTTCACGTCGCCTTGAAGTTGAGCAGTTCATTGTGTTCATTCTCTCCATCTCGTTCGCTGTTTTTAATAAAGAATAAAGATATTTGCTGATTCATATCGTTTGCTTATCTTATGTTGCTTACCGGTATTATACCGCTATATCCGATCAAGAGTTTGAATTTTGTATTGGAAATTATTGTTTAATTTCGCGTAGATGTTTATTTTGATAAAAAAAAACATAAATCAATGAACGAAATGTTGCATTGTCATATAAATATTGCTTGCAGTTTATTGCTCCATTACCCGCCCTTTAATTGAGTTTTAATATTCGCGGTGCTCACAACTTGTGTCACAAGTACTCACCATTGCCAATAATCACTTACCATTTTTTTTTCCTACAACTTTGATTAAAAACAAATATGCGTGAAGTATTAGTAGAATATTATAGGTGTGATAATCCAGCCCATTCTCGGAATCAAACTAGAAAGTACGTTGTGCGTGATCATGGATCGAATAGCTGTCCAGTTTGCGGATCAATTAATGGTCCACCATATAAATCGGTAAATTATTTGTATTTATTATAACTCACAACCAAAAATCCAAAATGTTTTTAATGTTGTACGCATGATTCGTTTAGATCCGTGTTTCGGAGAGGACCTAATCATTGGTTACCACTTGCCAGCATTCGCAACTTTTCAATATTGGAATCAAATAAAATACAAAATAGATTATAAATCTCACCTCGGAATTGTGCATAAGAAATTATCAAATGGAATGTGTTTTCTCTAATTTTGGAATCGAAAATTAATTTAATATGTAGTAAATTATTGCAAGTTCTGCATTCAAATGTTTATCACTTTTTTTATCATTCACTGATTTCCACTCACCAAAAGCACAATTAATCAAGACCGATAAACGTGAACGAAATTCAGAAAGAATAAAAGTAGGTGAATCTGATTATTGGAATGATATAAAAACTTCGGCCAATACTCGTGGTTTAAAGCTTATAGTATCAGTTTCTAGAGCATATATTTGTGAACCAGAACATATATTTTCAAGAAATTGCTGTATCTATAAAACATTTAAAAAATCGAGAGAGAGAGAGAGAGTTCAATATTTTGATATCACCTTTTAATGAATTGCTGCACGAGGTCTTGATTACAAATAAAAAAAAAACGTTTTATTCCTTCTTTAATTAAAATCTGTTATATTAAACTAATCAGAATCATAGTCGATTTGAGATGATCATTTATATCCTAATATATTTAAACCAAAAGACATTTGCTTACAGTTCGTTTTTTATTGCTTATTAAATAAACTTGAACAATTGAAAAAAATAAACAAACAACAGGACAATAAACTCCCTGTTATCATCAATTTCAAATTTTTTGTTTTCTACAAAGTTACAGCTTTTGGGGGAAATTTATTATTTAAATTTAAATATTCGGGGTTATCGAAGAAAAATAGCTTTTTTGTGTGAAATTGTTTCCCTATAAAATAATAACAACAATTATTGATGTTATTTTGTGCGGTGTGTGTGTTTCGCATCGCTGCTGTATTCTTATTCATGTTATCTGCATAATCACAAATAAACATGGAAATTTCCGAGTATTTGGCTTTATATAACCAATTCATAAAAAACGGTGTTTATTTGAAGTTTTTTTCCGAGTTCCAAACCCCTAGGTTACAGCTATCAGTAATCATTGATAACAAAATATAAATTGGAAGCATAAGAAACCTATTACTAGACAACATTTTAATTTTTAACAAAAACAGTTAACTTTGGAACTCTATCGTTGAAAACTACAGAAACCAAAAATGGGAAAAAAGTGTATTGTGAAAGATTTTCTTGAATTTGCCATTATTAAAAATCAAACTATAAAGATATAATCCAAATTCGAAAAATAAAATCATTGGTAGAATTGGCTCTATATTTCCCCATTGCATCCATCATACGAACATGTTTCACAGGTTTCTGTCTTTACATACGATGGTGTGTTATCATTCATGCAGTCGTTTTTGGAAGCACTTTCCTTTTCGAAGTAGCACGAACGAGAGACAATAGTAATTTCGTTGACTACAATTTCAGTAAAAGCAAAAAAAGCTAACTTCAATAATATTAGGCAAAAGAAAAGAAAGTTGATTTACCAAGTTGTGTCATTTTTCTGCATACTGATTTTTGATTCGATCCAGCCGGAGTTGGACAGTTCACAAAAGCCCATCCTGTAAAAAAAAACAGTTTTTAGTGGTAAAATTACGTTATGAAGAAATGGTGGCCGAACGTTTTTGTTCTGGTGTAACGGCATTCGCATCGAACGGATCATTACAAAATTTCCCATTTTTGCCACTTGACTGGCATCTCCAACATTTGAGAGCGCACGCTACAGAAATGTTTAATAAATTCACGTTTTAGTTGTTTTCACAGGTTAATATAAAGGTTTTCAATTAATTTTAATTACTTTATTCACTTACTTTCTTCAAATGAAAGAATGACTAAGGCTATAAAAGCCACAGCTGATAGATACTTTCCGAATGCCATTTCAGAGAATGAAATAATGTAATTGCTGAAAAAATTCCACGACAACTGATACATTTTACACGTCTACTCTATCCTTTTAAATGACCAAATTTGTATACAATTATTTTTTGTATAATTAATCGCCTATCAATTTAACACAGAAGCTGTATTGCAGTTGCTATGGATTTGTATGCATTTTGTAAACAATAACCACAAACAAAATATTCTGAAAAAAGATATGCTTATCGTAAGCGTTTATTTATTATTTTTGCTTGAAATGCGATCATTCATTTCAAGTTCCTTAAATAAATAAAATGTCTTACATCCGTAAGATGAACTTTTCCGCACTGTGATCCACAACATGCATTCATTACGTATCTTTTACCGTAAATATAAATTCATGAGAAAACTGAATCTGATATAAGTTTTGCGATACAAATAATTTTTGAACGACTTTTCAATGCCTGTATGATATCGTAATCATGTGAAAATTTACAGATGTTATCTTTTTCACAAAAAGCTAACATTCTGAAAGTTTGAAGAAATTTCAATACAATTGAGTTTTCATACAAAATTTTCGTTTTTGAGCAAAAAATCCAAAATTTTGTATGGGAGGTACCCCTAATTTGCATTTAAATCTCTTCAAAATCTCGAAATGTTATTTTTGAGTGAAAAAAATAAGCTGTGCAAAGTTTCAGCTCATTACGATATGATACAGGCATGGTTTTCATACAAAAATCAAAATTTTTTGAAATTTTTATATGAAAATAGTGTCGAAAATCATTTTTATCGCAAAACTAACGTCATATTCGGTTTTCTCGTATCCAAAACCCCCCATTACATATTTTTGAGTATTTAAGAATACATAAAATATCACTTTTGGAAGAAAATTTGAATTTTTCCTATGGATGGCCATGGGCATCACACCAGACATGACACGTCACTCTATAAACCAAAGTCGCTCAAAATCTAATGGTTTCAATTCCTCGGCACCCCCCAATCATCCTGTGAAGTCAGATTTTGAATTAATTTTCTTGTTTGAAAGTTATCGTGTTAACAAATTTTTGCGTACAGGGTACAGGGTACCACGCACATACATTCGGACATCGAAAAATTGACTGATTCGTGTTCCCTGGCTCCGTGGTAAAACACCCAGAAAACATGTTTTTTGAGGGTGTTAATTTTTCGACCGATTCCAATACTTTACCTTAAGCACTGGGTGTGTGCGGAAAAGTAATAATGATAGCGATTCAAGGCAATGTCAATAATCTTCAACTCATTTATTTATAAATTTATTTAAAAAAGCATCATGTGGATGAAGCGAGTGCTGTCTGTACTGATTCTTCACTCACATAATAATTATGCCGTATAAACATAACCTATAAATAACATGGGCCTACTTTAAGCCTAATAATCTCATACCCACAAGAATACTTAATATAACTCCGATGTAAATCAATTTTCAAAAAAAAAATATCTTATTTTCTATAATTTAATCCACAACAATTGAAATTCCGTGAAAAAATTATTATTACTCGGATTAATGAGTACATATTCAAATATATATGTTTCAAATAATGTCTGCAACATTTGCACGCGAAAACCCATTTCTCACGAAAAAGCTCAGAAAATGTTTCAGTTGACGACTATAACTTGTAGCATCAGTTTCAATGCCATATTCATAAAAATTTCCAACGTGCCACGTGCATTTACTAGAAAAAATTTCACATAGTTCTTGTTACTATTTCATTAATGTGAAAATGATTACACATAATGAAAAGTGTCTAGTACTGTGAAAGATGTAATTAAAAAAATTCATATATCAACTTGTGTCTGGAGGAAAAATTATAACGAGGGATTGTATACGACTTAAATATCAATTCTATGTAATGCTTTGTTGTCGCCTCTATGAAAATATTCCAATTTTTTAAGTGCATTTATTCCACTTCAGAACAGGCATGTTTCCTCTGTTCATTTATAATAAAAAAAATGTTGATTTAATTAGCTCAACAAAGCACATTGCTTTCATCATAAGTTCTTCTTCAGTTTTAGTGTAACTTGTAAAAAGATATTACTTTATGTATTATAAACGTGTCACGTACGTTTTAATAATATTTCTCTTCACATTAAGGATACTTTATTTTGTGAATGAATTGATGTATTCACATTCTTTAAATGATTATATGTATAGTATGTATAGTACATGGTTTTTTAAATTCACGCTTAAAAGTGAAATTGAGCATTCAATGGACAGTTTGCAAATCTGTGAATGGGCGGTGATTCATTGACGGGAAGGAGGCAATCAATCGAATTTGATCTGGAATAATCTGAGACACGTCAGATATTCTTACACAATTGTATAAATAAGAATTATCATCTTATCAATAAGTGAAAACTGAATGAAAAAAATCACACAAATCATGATTAGAATTTGAATAAGTAATCAATTGTTATAAATTTGAGATTAAAAAAAATGAGAGAATGTTATCAGACACCAACAAATTTCATGTTATGCTTTATTATGACAATTGTTGGGTTTTCAAAAGAAAATTTATTCTTTATGGCTTTTTCGGAGAATATGTTTCTTTTTTGTTATTGATACCCACTCCTTCATATTTGAAATAAGATTCAAAAGTGTTATAGTCAGTCTTTAAATGAAAGAGATCATGATTTTTGTTTTAAAAAAAAAACAGATCGACTCGAATCTTCAAAATCCATGTGGTCTTTGATTATCACTTTTATAATATGAAAATAATAATTTGCGTTACAATTAAATTTGTGCAAATTTGCATTCAATTAGCTCCATTTTGTTTATTCCACTGTTGACTGATTGAACAAACGAAATGAAATCGAAACAAAGACTAATGGTTGATTATTTGCTAAATAGTGTACTTCTTCACGAATGCTCTAATTATTGCTAATGATGAGCTAATCGAAAGAGAAACCAACAAAATGGAAATTAGCTATGTCGACAAACGGTAATTCGTGTAATAAATTTTTACAAGCGTGAAAGTACCCGCAACTAAATTGTGGTGAAAGAAAAAGTGAAGAAAAAAATCAATAGAACAATTGTGTATCTTTCTAATTGAGTGCTATTAATTACACCGATCCAATAAAATAGTTGAACTTTTGAATATGAATATGCATGACCGTTGTCTCGTGCCTTCAACAATGTGGACATTGTGTGGTGTGTGTGTGTGTGTGTGATCCATCAAACTATCTGGTTTGAATGTGCAAGGTGTGGCCAAGGCATTGTTTCGTCTGTCATATAATCATTTCTGTGGAAAGTTCATTGCGGCGGCTCTTGTTTTTCTTCCCTTGAATTTTATTTATTTCATTTGCATTACGCCGTAACAAATGATCGAAATAACCCAATTTTAATGCGCTGACACTAATTTATGTGCGTTAGATTATGCACAACGAAAAAAAAAATGACATTGAACTATATCACATTGTAAATCCACAGGACATGTCTATCTTGTGGTCACAATTGTTTTGATAACTTTAAGTATATCGCCGAATTCATATTTATCAAAATTGTTTATTCCGTTTGCATTCTTGAAATGAAATTTTTTTTTATTATTAATTCGATATAATGTTAGAAGAATGACAAAATGACAGCATGTTTGCGTCCAAATAAATTGCCGGTAAATTAAAAAAGTTCTCTATAGATTGCAGTTTTCACTTCATTTGAAATTAATCGTTTTCAAAGTCATTCTCAACTGCAATAGAAAACTTGCAAAGCAATTGATATGCTGATCGCAATGTGTATTGCTGAACTTCAGAAAGTAGAGACGCACAGCGAAAGCGCTGTGTGCAAAGTGGATAAAGAAAATTTGTGTATCATTTTGTTCTGCGCGTTGCTCGCATCACATTGTGGAGTATAGAGTGTGCGGATAACGAACCGTAGACAGCATAATTTCAGTTCAATTTGTGTGTTTGCCTTGAACGGACGGCTTTAGTTTGCTGACCAATTTTATTCAACTAGAGGCGCGAAAGTTAAACAACATTATTCAAACAACTGTTGATTCAGTCGTGTGAATTTATTTTAAGTTCAACATTTTCAATCTTTGCAAGGTGAAAAGAATTTGTGATCAGCTACAAAGGATGAATAAATTGTGGTGAAACTGATTTCAGTATGTGTCCTGTAAACATTGATCAAAACTGATGTTCATCTCATAAAATAAAAAGTGACCAAGTGAAAAAGAAGATAGAAAAAACTCCGGATCGTACAAACATTGAACACTAGAATGGAAATGCGTCATAGACATACTTATACTTATACGTCATTAATCATAAACTTCAATTGAGACAAGGTTTTTTTTGCCATTCTTCTGTATGATTGCACAAATAAAAATATTTGATAAAAATAGAGCGTAATCATATCTTGACAAGCGTAAAAATTTGTTGGGATTTATGTGCACAAGTGAAAATTGTACAATTTAATTTGAAGAGATGCAACGACTGCGTTCACAATGCGCTCAGTTCATATAGAAAAATCAATGGATTTAAGTTTGTAACCACGAAACAAGCAAAAAAAAAGCGCGCATTAACCACTGTGAATCGTTTGGTGAATTCTATTGTGTATTTCAATAGCATTCATTAATTTTATTGACTTCATACATTTTTCAATTGTTACACCAAGCAAACGCTCTGTCTTTTTTTCTGTCACTTGTTAGACACGGATTTTTATTCGAGTGAGTAAATATGTTATTGAATGTGATCATTTTTTCACTCTTTTCACAAGACATTTGACCATTTAAACCCTAATCTGCCACATATATTCTATTCACATTTAATCAAGAATAAATTGAATAATTACACCTGCACAATATTCAGCAATTGCATCACTCTCTCACACAACCAGAGAATTGTATGGCTGATTTGAGATTAAAACATGTGACCACACTTCATTTCATCAGCACATGAAAAACATTTTTTTTTCGTATTGGAGGACACTTCGCCGTAGAATAAACTGACTTTCTCTTGAAGCAGCACATATGTGAAGATGAAAAAGAGAGAAATGCTCATCTTTATTTGCCTTTAATCCATTTATTTGTCCAATAAAAATAGAAAAACTTTTGGATTATGTTTAGTTTTCGTGTATGCTTGAGATTGAACTAGATTTTCTCAAATTAAAGTAAACATTCGGAGCCGAAAGCTGGTTACACATGTATTCGCTTGATTCGGACGAGCCAAGTTTTTGTCAAATGGGCACGCTTTTATTCACAAACGAATAGATGAATTATTATAATGGCAGCCTTTATTCATAAATTACGATGAGAGTCAATGAGAGAAGCAAACGAAATGTAAACGCGAACAAATAAGTCTCTCGCGAGTATGTGTATGGTGCTCAGTGGTGGGATCCATATTATTACAAATTATATTGTGTCTTTTTTTCATTTCGATAATTGAATTACTAATATTTGTTTATTTTTATTTGCATCAAGTATTTTTGCATGCCATTTTGCAATGCAGTTTTTTCAGTTGTTGTTTATCAATATTTGGTGCTAAAAAGCGGTGAAGAATGAATGCTTTTTTTCTCTCGAAGAATGAGACTCATTCAAAGAGTTAAATTTCAATGATTTTGTTTTACTGATGCGTAAAATACCTATTGTCTTGTACGAACCGTGTACAAATGTTAGTCGTTCTTTAAAATTCGTCCGACAATGTCAAGTTTGTAAATTAAAATTTAATTTGTCAAATCAGATTTGAGATCAAATGATTTGAAAAATCGACAAATCACTCTGAAAATCATTATTTGAAATGATGCATCCAAATTAAATAAGTAATTTGATTGGAAGTGAGAACAAATAAATAGGTGAAAACAAATCAAATGGTATATTTGATTTGATCTCTGCTTCTCAAATCAATTGATCTCATTTTTTATTTGAAATCCACCCTTAGAAATTATTGATTGGAAGTCAAGCGTAAAACAAAGAAATGTCTATTTTTATGAAACGAATAAAATTTTGCGTTCAAATCTCTTTATCTTCACATGAACTTTCACACAAAAGTTCAGCCTGTCAATAAAAAATGTAATGAAATATTAAAATCACAAAAACTGGCATAAAATACGGAAATTTTCCAAGTTTTACTCAATTACAAATAATAAATTGCTTATAAAAATATACACCGCCTTGTATAGTATAATCAGTTATCGCATCTCATTTGGACCTGAATGTATGATTTTTGCACATTTTCCCCATTCAATGATTCGTTACAGTATTGAAACGAGCAAAGTAACATTTATTAGTGATGACAGCTATGATTTTTGTCATTGTCGTTATCATTTAGATCAACCCACATTATTATATATTTTTTTTCTCTTTTCATAATTGTTGTCATTATCATCGCAGCTGTCGTCGTCATACACGCATATATAGTCCTAGTCACAACCACGTTTGCACAATAGAAGCGTGATAAAAAAACGACTCCCTTGTATCATGTTCATTGTGTTTCCCTCGCATAGAGACGACTATCTCTATATGCTTTTTTCAAACTTTGACTGTAAAAAGAAATCAATTGACTCTCGCGCTTACCATTGGTTATTTGACAAAAAAAAATGACCGAACGCCGCATAATTAGTAATGTCTCTCGAATTACGACACATCTCATATAGGAATTGCGTTGAAAAATTGGACATTCACCATATTCAAGACCCACGAGACCTACAAATCTCGAATTAACAGTCGCTATCTGATATTTGCTCATAATTATTTGTCTAGGATTAACATATTCATCACATTTACAACAAAATCATGTTAAAAGAAGAAGAAGCGATTATTTTTAGATTGAAGTATGAGTTGTTGGATCTAATAAAAATTAATCGATGTTTATTGATAGGACAAGAAGTTTTGTGTTGTGTGTAAAAAGCGGATCAATTAAAATGTGGAACGGAAAATGTAATCTAGCAAAAGGAACCCCGTCGGGCCCAATACAAAATCAGAACAACTTAAACATACGAAATGGTTCGACAAACGATACATGTTCATTGAGATCCGTTAGCTCAGAGGATATTTCAACGAGCGATTTACCATCGACATGCTGTAGTTCAAACGCAACAAATCCAGCGATAAAAAGTGGAAGACGGTTCCAGTTGCTACAGGTCAGTTTTCAATGTTGATATGCACGTTATATTGCAGGGTAAAGGGAACGAATCATTTTTTTCGCACATCCCATGGGAAAAAGTTTTCGTTTTTTTTCAAGTTGAGTTCCAAAATTGAATAAAAATGATATCAAATCTTCGCAGATTAAATCATTGATAGAAGTGGATAATAAGTGTTATCAGATGTTTGCCAATGGTCTTTAGTTTCTCGATACAATTTCGAAAATGCGCGTTTATTTTGCAAAGTTATCGAAAATATCATTTAATGTGTGAAGAATCTGTATTCAATACAGAGCTCAAGAAGCATGTGATAACTTTGGAGACGCATGAAATATGTGACAGATTGGCCGTGATGGGGGAATTATGTTTGTTCTCTAGATTTGGATTTTAGTGGGGCCGTTATCACTGTCAAAATTGTGCCGAAGCCAATCAAAACTTGTTCCTTCTCGAATGGAAATGTGTACACTTTACTTGGTTAACATTAACCCCCATTAGAATCATATGATTTTGATGTATCAAATACCGAATACGTTGCGTTGGTTGTCATGGATAGCAGACTTTTGATGAGTGCGTTTAAGCGAATTTTCTTCATTCATTCCTTTCATCGACAAAGTTAATCTTTTTTATTTGTTTTTATGTTATTTGCACCATTTCATGGTGGCCAAATCCAATTTGAAACGCAACATCAAGAAAAATGTTTTTTAAGTGTCTTAAATCGTATCGATTTTCTGCAACTTATTCGGATCATAGTACGGCGGTTCGGAGACACACAAATGTTTCTTTTAAACGATGATTGACTGTTCTATCGGAACAATGGTCTGTATTCATTTCGTTTAGTCTGAAGATTTAATTGGAAGATATAAAGCCGTTTATTGCAATCGACCGGAATCTATTCGGCAATAATTCACCGTAAGTGCGTTGTAGAGAGAAACTATCGAGATTAGCATTTGCAGTTAGTGTGCTCTAATTGTCTTATTGAATTTATGGAAGACGGCAGCTGTATGTATACTAATTTTTATTCTTCTGTTTTTCTTTTTCATGCCATAGATGATAATATTGCCTTTTATCCCAATACTGGCTCTGATTATACAAACATCCTATTCATTAAACGAATTATTAAAATCTCAAATAGACAGTTCAGACACAGAAACACAGGTAAGTCAAATATTTCACTTCATTTTCAATGCATGCGAAGGGCGAACAGAGAGCGATTACTTTGTTTGTCATTTTCATAATTTATCGCCAATGAAAAGAGAGAAAAAAAAAAACAGCACAAGATTTATCGAATGGAAACACTCGTATTTCACTCACTCGTACGAAGGAAGGGTCGGCAGTGAAAAAAGCAATTTGCACATAATATTGGTCATTGTGTTTACAAAACCTTGTGTATGTATATGTGTTTACACTGTTGACTTGTTGATATCGTAAAAGAAACCAAAGCCGGAAAATTGCTATAGAATTAGTTTAATCAAAATTTATATAGCATGAACGTGCTTTTTCACACAAATGTCGTAACAATTTCCGTGCACTTGTCTCTGGCGTTCTCTTTTGTCGACTGCATCAGAATGCACATTATTAACAAGTTGGCGACTTGGACTCACTTTTCACCTCTCGCGCGCCCCCTTTTCTCTTATATTTCTTCAAAATATAAATGAGCGTTTATTTCCAAGTGGATTTCCTTTGCTGATTTGTCTGTTCTTCCATAAAATCAATATTTTGCTGTCAATATATTAAACGGTTTAGTGCACAGTGTGCATCGTCTGCATTTTGTTTGCTTCGATGTGTTTAGTAATTTTCCGAAATAAACATTCATCGAAGGAAATAGCTCTGGCGGATAAAACTCGACCATAAATTAGTTGTCAAGACGCTTAGTACTTGGGAGATAAGCGTTCCGACTGTGACTCAATCGCAAGGGGAAAAGTACTAAATACATCTAATACCAGTAATACGATCTAGTACAATAAAAATACCGAAAAATACCATGTAATACACTTTAGTACTACACATTTTTAGAGTATTCACAAGCGATCTGATATTCATCTGTGTGAAAGAAAAATAATTTGAAAACAATATTTTTGTATCACTCTTGCTTACAATTTTAATATTACAAAATATTAATTTAACAAAATAACTGAATCAATGTCATAAACGCACAAGATTTTATATATATTTCTTCAAAACACAAGATTTGTTAGCTTTGACATGTAAAAATCTAACCTAACTTCGGTCCAATATATTTTTTCATCTTCTGATTTGTGTAGAGATTTTGTTTAAATATGAAATTGTGTCAGCTTCTTAGAACACTTTTCAAAAATGTAAAAATATTTAACAAAATCAACAAAAATGTGTGCTTTGAATTTTAATTATTTCGGTTTGCATGTGTCTCGTTTCTCTCAGTCAGTGCTCTAAAAATTCCTCATTACTAAATCGTATTACTTGGTATTTTTCGGTATTTTTATTGTACTAGATCGTATTACTGGTATTAGACGTATTTAGTACTTTCCCCCTTGCTCAATCGTTTCAAAAAGAAAAGTTCGAATCTTATGAAAGTATTGCGATGTCGTGAATTTATTTCGATAAATTGAATGTCCTGTTTTTCATCATTACACATGCTGCTCAAGCACTGTTATACACTCTCGCTTCAATTGCTATTCAATGTGAATTATCTGAAATGCAAGACATAAATCTTAATAGTGGTACCAACAGGTTGTTTAAATCCAATCATTGAAAACAACTTGTTGCAACAACATCTCTTCCACATTTTCAATTCCATCATTCATTTTATCATATAGACTCAGTCTGATGAATGAAATTACATGTTCGCGCAAAACTGCACCGCTTTCATATTATTATAATACGGATGAATTTATTGAAGTGGAATTATGGTTTTGATTAAGTGTGCGCGTGAAAAGAGGGATTAATAATTGAGAATGGATAATCTCAATGGAAAAATGCTAATTCTAATAAATTTTTTCAAATGGATCTCATACACACTCTACTTTATCAACATTCGTTATGTAACGTCCATCATAAATAGGTTACGCTAGCAACTGGATTGGGAAAAGTGGTAACGCAAATTCAACTAGAACGTTCTGAAGTGGCCTTTTTTATTTTCACAAACGGAAGTACATTAAGGTTAGTACACGTACACATCAACTGCATCAACTTTTCTCCAAACAATTTCAATTAAAATCGATATGCTAACAATTTTCTCACATCAAATTTCTGTCATTCAAACCAGATCAAATTTATCGTCACGATTCGCCGTAACCAATGAAGCTTTGAACAATTTACCGGAATTTCCTGATCTAGTTGTGCCCATATTTATCGATGACGTTTTAAATAAACAACAAAATCTGAATCGAACGGAGTTTTTGCGACAGCTTGAGGATTTTCGGTAAGTATGCACAGCACATACATCCATTTATCAATGCAATTCTAAATCAAACATATTGTGTACGCTTCATTTGAAGTCAATATGGTGTGAGTGTGTTTGTCTGCATTTTTAATATGTATGCACACGTTCATTGCATATTCATAATGGAAAAAAAAAAATTAAATTAAAAACTGCACAACGTATCCGTTTGACACATGACCGAGTGCATCAACAGCTTAAATAGAGAATTTTCCATTCGCACAATGAATAAAAATCAAATTAACGGCTAGTCGTAGCGCGTCAAACAAATATTTATATGATTTGAATATCACGTGTGATGATGTGATTAAAACGCAATGTTTTGACTTTTATTCAGTTTTATGTATTCAACGAAGTGGAGAAAAAAGGAATTAGAGGGAAAAATTCTAAACGCATATTTCGCAACACGGATAAATTGAAAGGAAATTATGATAAAAGTATATGCAACATTGCATTTAAATGAATTAAATTCAGTGTTTTGCCATTGCATTGTCACAACAACGTGATACATCCAATGCACCATACAATCCAGAAGCATTCGCCTATTCAATGAAACACTGGCTTCAATAGAACACTGTTGAACTCATTTTGCATTTTAATGCAGCACGTTACAAAGAAAAACTTTTTAAAAATAACAACAAATCTTTATTCAAAGTGTTTTTAGGTGTGTGAAATATTGTTGAAACACTTTCGACGCAAAAGTGCATGATGAAAATCACGTCCGCGTGAACATTTTATTTGCTTTTTTCAAATAATGCAGACAAAATCGCAATTCTCGTTCAATTTACTAAACTTATACAAGAAGCCTAGAAGCTAGGGGTTCTTTTTATGTCAACAAGCCGATGAAAAATGAGCGCAAGAGACATTATAATCGAATTGATAATTACCCCTTGATTCAACTACAACAGACTAAAAAAATCTTTGGGCATTTAAACTTTGAGACGTACATCACACTCAATGTTTACTTATCATTTACTGAAGAACAGCCAACTGATGAAATCGGCCCTTAAAATGAAATGATGAACGATTTTCATCGACACCGCTTTGGGTATCGCTCAAAATAAGCCGCAAATAAATATTGCGATTTTATTAAGAATCATGAAAGTAGGCGGAAAGAATAACATCAACTACGTTCCATGCGCGTCCATTTATTAATATTACTTAAGATGCTGGCCGAAAAGGGAACCAAAGATATTAGAGTTGAATTAAAATTACGATTTGATGTTGCTATCGACTTTTCAATGAATAAAATTTGATTTGGAACAGGCCTTATGTCTAGTCACCATGATAGGCCTTAAAAGAATAATAATAAGTGGCAAAGCGTGATACTATGCGTTTGAGTAATTAATAAAAATTATGAAATTCAGTTATTTATGAGAAGACTATTAAATTTTCAGCACTTTAATTGTGACTCAAAGTGATTTCCAAATTACTTTTTCCATTGTGGATACAATTCGATTCATTAAAATTGCTGTCTATATTGACGAGGCATTGGCGCACACTGAATGAACAGTTTCTGCTTTTAATATTTGCAAGTTGCTTACTAATTTCTCTTGAATATCAGCAACTGGTCAATCGGCTCAAGACTTTTGCTCCGACATTGACACTCACCGAATAAGTGCTTCGTTGCCGGTTAATAAAATTCAAATAACGTATTGTTGGTGCTCAAGCTAATAGACATTTTAAGATACGGGCTCAGACAAACTGGATAATATGTATATAGTGGATGTAAAAATACGTGAGGCTTGCCTTGTCTCCTTGTCAAAAAATAACATTTTATTATTCATTGTGTTTATAGGCATAATAAAGAATAGAAGCGAAAGTAACCTCTAATCGCAATATTTATGTGCTTTTCATTCTTTTTCAAATATGTTGTAAAGCATTTTTGATAAGTATGCATTTTAAGTTGTGAATCATAAACCGAATGAGAGGGAGAGAAACCTCTTAAAACTAATGCGATTTTTATTTTCAGCATTAGCAATTTTGTGTTTCACATATGTCGATTTTGGTTCGATCAAATATCACATTATTAGATTTATAAAACATTGTAATAAATCGTATATGCGGCCATTTTTTATGCCATAAGGTGAATGAAACATGGAGGTGAATTGAAAAACGTTGCCATTTTTTGGAGAAAAATTACGATCTTGTGAAATATATACAATAATGGATTTCTTCATGTCCAAGAGTATTGTGGTTCTCGTAACAATGGAAAACCAACCGGAATTTCATGTGTAACTCAATTGGAAAATTCAATGAAATTGAGGATGCCATCATTTGTTGAAGTGCTACATCATTTTTCATTGATGCATCTCGAATCATGGACTAATGGCGATGATATAATACTCTGAATGATATTAATCTCAAGACAGTAAATATAACTTTTATCCATGTGGAAGTGAAATTCTAATTTTAAACATGGACTTTTTCGAATTGAATGTCTCTGCTTTTTCATGAGCAAATCAAGGATCTGTAGAAAAGTATACTCAAAAATATGAATAAAAACTTATTCGCTTCCCTCAATTCGTTCATATTTTATCGTGATGAAGTCGATTCGATGGACTCATTTCATGCCACCATTGATTTAAATGCACGTTTTTGCACAACATAACTTACTAAGTTAACTAGTTAAGTTACTATGTACTGGACGCACAAACTTCGATTTATAATAATAAATACTGTCACTTGTCATTATGCTTCAGAAGTGTGTATTCAATTGTTATTAAAAGAGTATAATCACATGGGCTGAAAATAGATGAAAACGGTCACAGTAAAAAAGCGGTTCCCCATGGTGATGAAAGACGGACGAGTTGTTTTTTTTTTTCGTCGGATGATTTCTCCTTGACATAATATCTATACATATATGGTCTTGTAACAGATAATCCAATTCCGAGCCGTCCGTCTATTATTTGCGATGAAAATAAAACCAATAAAAACTAAACTCTATCGTACTGTGCATAAAACTATGAAACCAACAATTCAATTAATATGAATACCAATCATCATCAATAGAAAGAATAATTGTGTTCATATTATTCCCTCATGAAGCTTCCCGTTGCTGGAAAAAGTTCAAATATTCAAATTGTTGCCAGCTAATTGGTGTTTGTGTCTCATTCCAACTAGTGTTGTATAGTATCTTCCACCAGTATATAATGTTAGTTTGTTCGTAAGAGGCATATTAATTGTAATTTACCCCGAGTGAACTAATGAGTAGTTCATATGCGGAATTGATAAGTATGTTGACTGTGAAACACCAAATGAAATATCATATCAATGCACATTCTTATTTAATCTTTCGTTGAATTCCAAGCGGTTATCCAAATGGTAAATGATGCAATTGTGTTGACTCTGACAAAGTAATGGTCTGTAATAACAAATATTGTGCGGCGAATAAAAGGCTTTACTTCACTTGCACCCAATTCATATAATTAACAGCTACCTAAATTGTTCTCATGATTAAACTTGTGCTATACATAATTTTCGTATTGGATTAATGCTGCAGTTTGTGATGCCGAAATTAAGGGATACGTATTAACTACCTAGACTTCAGAGTGAAAATAACAAGCTAAATTGACCATACCAACATTTTTCTCTCTCTTTAATTTTAAGAACATCAAAACAGGCCAATAAGATGAGAAAAAAAAGGAGTTACGCAAAGAAGAGAAAAAAATATAGTAGAATCTTTTATTTTGGATGCAAATGCTGTTTGCGATTACCCGTTTCGATTGATTTGATTTAACCCCATTGCATACGAATCGTTTTCAGCGGATGAATTTGAATGGAGTAGATATATCATGCAGACAATATATTTGAATTTTGTCATCTGGATATTTCAGCTCATCTGGATAACGTTAGGCGGTGATACGAAATGAAAACAATAGAAGTGATTGTTATAGTTTTGGTAGTATTTTTAAACCTATACAATAGAACAATCACTTCTATTGTTTTCACTCCATATCGTCGCCCAACGTTATCCAGATGAAGTGAAATATCTAGATGACAAAATCCAAATATATTGTCTGATTTCATGGAAACTCAATAGAATGCAACATTGGGACTACCTTCTTTTTTCGTATTTATAGTCTGTTTGAATAATATAAACAAAATAATGGCATATTTAGTCTCGCAATAAAATGTGTGTATTATGTATGATAAGTGAAACAATAATAATTTTTGTGTTGAAGTTAATTGTGGAGATTTTGTGTTTTCGATTCATTTATTTTTATTGATCTATAAAAAAAGGTCTTGAAATTTGTCTTTTGAATCAAACAATGTATTTATTTGTGGGATTCTTTTTTATCGTTCAATTCAGAATTCATTGAATGAACCATAATAATCGATATCGGAATGTTTGAAGATGTTGCGATAAGTTTTACGTCTCTGAATTCAATGAATATAGTATATGTAAATATATGCATAAATATAAAGAATATCGTAAATTACGAGCGCGCACCAACCCACAATGGTATGTGTGTGTTTATATTTAAATTACTGTCGCATTTCATTTTGGGAGTGAATCCATAAAATTTAATGGCATTCTCACCAATTTATTATCGAAACATGCCGAAAGTAAACAGAATCAATGGCTGAACTATTGTATTTAATTACAATTTCAATTAAATTGGCAGTGATTCGTAGAGTGTGACGCATTATCTGTTGTTGACCCCATCAGGCATGGTTAAAATAAACACCTGCTACGATGGCATATTTTCACACCACATGTCTGCGCAAGAAATAGATTGCCGATGATTGTCTCAAGGATGTACCAAGAGATGGAAAGTGGTACATTGACATGGCCAAAAATAAAAAAATTGAAAACATCGCATTGTATTTATTCTCAGTGAATGTAATGGTCCTTCCCAAAAGTTCAGAAAATTTCACTTTCCTTAATGTTCCAATCAGCGCGCAATCATGCGCCAACGAAGCATGACCAAATCAAAATAAAAGAGAACTTTTGAGTGAAAGACTTTCAAGTAGACATAAAATAATCACTCGGGATGTTATGAATCACTGTAAATTGACATCATAATAATATTCAATAACGTTAAGCAAATAAATAAACACCATTTTCTGTTTGTGTATGGAATGGTCACATCGATTGAAAATCAATCAACAAAGAGCGTCATTTTGGGGATGAAATAATTCCAATAGATTGTTCGATTATTTTTTCTATTCTGATTTATTTATTTGATTTTTTTCCCGCAGACGTTTTTTTTTTCGTCAAAAGCAGACAAGCCGATTGATAAAATTGTGTGTGCTTTAGATAAAAATGAAATAAGCTTTTGTGTAATTTTGTGTATTTAGATCGAAAATTCATTCGGAAGAGAGTAGTATGGCTGATGTGATGCAATGGTATAATACAGTGAATGCCGCTCTTCTCGACCATTTGACCAATCAAATCAAAGAAACAGACAATAGCGGTGTTTGGAGGTACTTCAATGTTAAATTAAAATCATTTTTATATTGTTCATATCACATTGTTTTCCGTTGTTTTCATTCTATAATCAATAGGCATTTGGTAGGTTTTAAGAATATTTTGCGGAGTATTGAGTGTTATGGTATAGCATCGGTGCATGGTATCAATTATTTCGGGCGTGGATTATTAAGTTCGGATAAATACGTTGACTACATAAGACATGATATGTTGGGCAAAGATTTATTGAACACAACAATAAACTACGTGCCAGACATCAAACCAGTTTACAAGCGATTGGCTTCTATGCCTGGATACGGGAGTCTTCGTAATTCGTAGGTGTTATTTTTGAATTTTTGTCTGAGGGTTGATACTCCACATTTACCGATAATCCTGTTAATTTGTTTACAAAAAAAAACAGAAGCAACCTGATTGTTAAAAATCAAAAGCGAGTTTCCAGCGTGGAGGAGGCAATCACATATTTTGATTTAATGGCCAGTTACTTGGATGAGCTGCGAAAAATTCAAAATTTTGTCCGCGAAAAGATTGGGTATTCATTATCATTCTTGGTTTATTATTATTATTCTTGCAATACTCTTAAGGAGACAAAGTGGTGGCGCAACCACTCAAGTGAAATCGAATTTGTCTGGAAAATTTTAAAATTGGTTTTGTTTTCAGATTCGACGTCAATACCAATATAAATAAAGCCAAATACAGTACCTACATCGGTGTCGCCATTTTGGTGATTGTATTAGTGGTTTCGCCCGTCATCATATTTTTAGTACGAAATGCAACCAACACGATTCAGGTGGGCTCAATTTCATTCGCTATTTTGTTGCTTGTCGCTGTTTCGATACACGTGATTGCTCTTAATAAAATTTATGTGCCCATTTTGCTCTCATGTTAGATTTATGCGTGTAATTTGTCGGAAAAAGCGAAAGAATTGAAACGAGAGAAACGCAAAAGTGATATGCTATTGTTTCAAATGCTACCCCCATCTGTGGCGACCCAATTAAAACAAACACAAAAAGTTCCAGCCGAATACTACGACGAGGTGACCATTTATTTTAGCGATATTGTGGGATTTACTGAAATTGCCGCCGAATGTACTCCGCTTGAGGTTTGAAATTTCAATTCAGTTTAAACATGACCGAATTATATGGCATCGTTCTGTTTCAGGTGGTTAACTTTTTGAATTCAATTTACAAAGTATTCGACGAACGAATTGAGTGCTATGATGTTTACAAGGTTGAAACAATCGGTGATTCGTACATGGTTAATATCCTTTAGTGTATTGTGTCGCAGCCAGGTGGTTATGTTTTCTTTTCTCATTTGCCAACAGGTAGCAAGTGGTTTACCGGTGAAAAATGGAAATAAGCATGTTTCGGAGATTGCAACCATGGCCTTGGACTTGCTTGATGCCGCCACATACTTTCGAATTCCCCGAAGGCATTAATATTTCTCATTTTGACTCAATTTAAATCGATATAATTGCATTTAACGCTTTCTATTTTGTACGTCTTTACTTTACTTGCAGAACAAATGAATTTCTTCAAATTAGGTGTGGAGCCCATACAGGTCCAGTAGTCGCCGGAATTGTTGGCACCAAAATGCCTCGGTATTGTTTGTTTGGAGATACTGTCAACACTGCGAGTCGGATGGAATCCACCGGAGAAGGTATGATTGCATTGTGATGTTCACGAATTGTTATTTTTAATTTCATTTTTGGTGACAGCTTTGAAAATTCACATAACGGCCGAAATGAATAACGAACTGATGAGCATTGGCGGGTTCAAGACAGAACATCGTGGATTAATCGATGTAAAAGTAAGTTTCGAAAATCACACACAGACAGACTTTTTTTCGTCATCGAAACCATACAGAAAGAAAAATTCAAACCATCGGTCACCAAATTCATTCAACGAATACAGAAAGCAATCAAATATAAAATGATTATGATTTCCATCAAAAGCTTCAAACAGGAAAAAATAACAACAACCCTTTTTTGTTGTTGTTTTTTCTTCTTCAAGCTGTTTGATTGATGAGACCCAACATTAAAATGTATATATCAAATTTTATGTTTACACACTTCAGACAGCATTGCACAGACATTCACGTGTCATCATTCACTGATTTGCTGACAGACGTTTTTTTTTGAAGTTCACTTTCATTCTGCTGAACATTCACAATTGGATCAGAATTTTGAATTGTATGCGTTCAAATGAATTGTTCGTCTGCTGTCTTGTCTTTATTATTTCGATAAAATGCATCAATGCGAGAAGAAAAAACTTGCCAAATAAACAAAATAACAAAGAAAAACCGATAATGTATGCAAATTGCGAAATGATTTTTGATGACAATGGATTTCTGTATGGAGATGATGGTTTCGCTGATAGATCAATGTTGTTAAAATAGTTCGTTCATTTTTCATCATATTGACATTGAATAATGTTGAATATTTTGATTTGTTTACCAGGGAAAAGGTTTGATGAACACATATTGGTTGACATCACAAGGGCCGATAAAAAAGCGCGAAGAAATCTCTTGGTTTTCCGACATAGAGCCAGTCTTTTTAAAGACTCTACAATTTCGCCACGAGGTCAAAACAAAGTTAAGAAAGTCCGTTAAACTCTAAGCCCCAGAGTCGTGCCGTGCAGATGTAGTAATTATATTGAACCAAAATGTGCATTGCACACCGAATGTATGGACCAGATCGTATTGCATTTTTGTTTCTGAACAGAAAAAAACGGAAACAATTTCTAAAACATGAATTTATCTAGGTGTCGTGAATTTGATATCGAAATCACAACTTTTTTTTTTCTTAAGGTGAAAATCCAAAATAAATATTTAGAATAGTGGAATATAACTCAAAACACGTGTGTTTGTCAACGTCTATAAGTTCTCACACACAAAATAATTGTATGAATAAACAATATATGTATAAATGTTTCAATGTTACAAAACATAAACGAATCAGCATTATTTACAATCTTTATTTGTATTGTTTCATTTCGTCGATCCTATGAAACAAAACTTCCAGTCAATTCAATACATTTAACCCACAAAATCAATCTTAGTCGACGACAGAAAGTACACAATACATGAAAATTATCAATGAATTTTACGATGAGATTAACTCTACAAACTCGATTTATATATTTGGGAACAAACAAACAGTGCCCACTTGTTTGACAGCATGTTTCGTGGGAAATTCAACTTTAACATTTTCCATATTATCAAAGGCACTTAACCTCATCACAATAAAGGCGATTTATTGAGTCGCCATTTCTTCGAATAACATCTGGGAATTAAAAGTTCTTTTTTGGAAAAAGATATTACTTTTTCGCACAAAACAAATGAAAAATGGCTCGATTTGGACCAAGAGCGAGGCCCATTAGGCCCATGCAACTAACCATTTGAGCAATTTCTCTTATCATCAAACTAACATCATAATAATAATTTACGATGATATCAAGATCCATACAAAACTGTGAACATCGTAATGGATCATTGATATAATTTTTCGTGTTATCCGCTCTAATTAGTTTTGTTTCTTCTTAATTTGTCTCTTCGTAAATTTGATATAGCCAATAAAATAATAATGATATTCTATATGAACTGACAAATATTGCATGTGATTTTCTTAAATTATTTTGACAAAACCAAAATATGTATGGCGTAATAAAGTAAATATACTCCAAATAAAGGAATTGCGTTTCATTCAGGCTAAAAATCTTAATTAAAGATGATATTAATAGAATAGAAAATAAAATGCATCGCGTCTGAATTGGAAAACTTTTTTTAACGCCGGCATTGTTTAATAGAAAACTTTCTATTGCGTTTCGGTCAATTTACGGCAGGTCAATTAATTCAGGATTAATATTTATACATGCATTGTTATCGCTCATCATTTCTATCATCAAACGTTCGCCATCGCATTAAAATGAACAGAAGCTTCGCTTTTTGGCTACGAAAACGCAGGAGACTACGCAGCAATATTTCACGTAGAGATACGACGGTATGCCGTTCGTCCAGGGAATAAGGGGAAAATTCAATCGTAGAAAAAAATTATGTATTCGAATGAAACGTAACGCAACGCACCCACAACAACAATCACACGACCATAAACAATGGCCATTGCAAGCAAAAAGAAAACAGCCAACAATCATCCGATCTACGGTTTGTATTTTATCCACGGTTTCGACAAAATAAGCGTTTCGCTCTTCTTATCAGTGAAACCGCCAGTCATGCGGTACACACACGGGTGAAGACGTATCATGTGTCGATGAAGATGTAACGCGATGCATAACAGTGTGTAAGCTACATTCAACTGCGATACATTGACTTTCAAGTGATTTTTGTTACGACATTATTCATTGGTAAATATCCAATATTTAAAGTTTTTCCATTGAACCCAAATCGGTAAGTTTTATTTCACACGTGCTGCACTGAATTTTATTTTTGAAAATTGAGATAGCAAATAATTATCAAGTTCAGAAACAAATTCATTGTGTTTACATCGATTTACGTGGATAGTATGACATTGCTCCAACCGTCAACATATTCACATTTGGACAACATCACTTGATGATTGCATATACAAAATACGATAAATAGTTACATAAGTGTCGCGAGCTTTGGTCTTTGTCTGTTATCACTTTGAGCATAATTTGTGGCGCCAGATTGTCCGTTGAATTATTACATAAATGAACGAAAGTGAAAAAAGGACAATGGACCCCAGTCAAATCGGAGAATCATCGTTTGATGCATTCCGGGGGCGATAAACTTATATATTTACATTGACGAAATCAACTTTTGTCAATATTTATTGTTTATATTAAAACACATCTAAATATTTAGAGGTTATTTCAAAAGCATTACCTATTTTATGACACCATCAAATGGTTATGTCACCTTCGAACTCAGTTTCAATGCAGAACTTGATAAACTATTTGCGCTACTTTAATTTCATTCATGACATAAAATTAATTAGTGAATTTTTGTAATTCCATCCATGCATTAGTGCTAATATGGGAGGACGTGTCGCTGGAAAAGTTGCATATTCAAATGGCGGATACACCGGTGGTAAGAAGCATAGGCGTGCTGCTGAAAATTAAATTCTTTGTTCAACGATAATTTATATGGTTCTCAAATGACAGGCAGCCGTTCATATTCCGGCATCAATGAGGGTATCATGTGGGCAACAATAATTATGGCAATCATCATCACTGTTCTCATATCGATAGCGCTATGCTATTTAGCGCGCGAAAAATATAAAAAACGGCAAGAATATTACATAAATGCTTAGGCAACTGTGAAACATACGCAATTACACATATTGATCCATCCAAAAATCTCTATGTTGGAGTATCTCCTGCCATTAGAGATGTAAATGTTCAAGGTTCTTTGTTTGGTCGCTTCCTGTTTTCACTTCCATTTTTTTATATTATTATAATTAGTTTTATGAAAATTTAAAAGTATTTAAAGTCTAAACGATTGAGAAAATTAAAAAGATTATATTGATAAATAAGACAATAATAGAAATTCAAAAAAAAAAAAATTTCTTTGCTATTTTTATTATACAAGTTGTTTGCAATAAAAAGTAATGAAATGAAAGAAATGAGTAATATTTTGAATATTCAAACCGTTTTCGTTGAGTAAAAATGTGCGTTCGAAAAATGAGCACATTTCGAAACAATAAAAAAGTACTCATCGAATGTTGTGCTCTTGTGTGAGCAAATTTTCGAACATTGAAAGACGACAAGAGACAGAGACACATACATTTGTGACATCAGACTTTGAACTATTTCGCTCGCGCTATTACAATCCACCGCATTATTCTATCGCTATACCTTTTTCTATTACATTGAGTAGAATTTTGAATACCAATGCTCACTATTTGACATATACACAGTCAAAGTCACGACGGTTCACTTCATTTGGGTTGCGTTAGTCGGTTTTCGCTTGTCCGAATGCCGCCAAATACACATTTACATACACAAAAACGACATCGAAACCACGCTATTGTCTGCTATAGGACGAAGAGAGATGGATAAACACGTAGTTGTGCGCCTATAGAATATTGTTCTCACATCCATCAATTCAGTAGAGCGTTGTTCGTCAAATACATTGGATCTCGCAAGAAACTCGCAAACGATTTAATCGAATTCTCTTCATTTATTATTCTGTGAAAGAAGGTATGTACAAATTTTCCATTTCTAATCAATTTGATTTTTGATAATCGTTCATTTACGTATGACGAAAATCTATTCGTTCGCAATTGTTGTCATAAAATCCAAAAATTATCGGGTGATTTCCGTATTTATAAAAAAAAACAACGTCAATTGCGCAACGAAACCAAATTGCCGCGTCGTCAAACCGTGTGAGATTTATTTTTTTTTTCTCTATCGTTTCCATTTCAAGCATCAATAAATGCAAATTACAAAGTTGAAAGATTGCTTGGATGTAAATGTGATTCGAGAACTATTTTATTTGTAAATTTCATTTCAATAAAATGAATAATTGAACGAACACTGAAATCGTGATAAATCCATCACATACAATTGTGAAATAAAAATCGTTTTTTGCATTGATAATCGTAATATGCTGATAGAATGATTCAAGCCTCATAAAAGTTTTATACATATTCCCCCTTTCACAAATGCGCCTAACTACAATTTCAAGTCGCAAAAAAATGTGTTGCGATCGCATGTCTCGCATACGTTGTGGCAGAAACTTCCAGATCCGCTTGTTCTTTCACACTGCGTCATCGCTGTTGTCTTTTGTCTCTTTCTACCTTCGTTTCGCATTCAAACAAGTGTGATGCTTGGGCATTTCGGTTTTTTCTCACATCTGTTAGTATTTCTGTGTGTCATCATTCGCTTATTAAATGATAATTTTTGGATACCTTTTTTTTGTCTCTCTTTCGCAATAGCTGTTGAAAATTACCAAGATGCCAGACATTATGAAACCAGCCCCACATTTCAAAGGCACCGCTGTGGTGAAGGGAAAATTCCAGGAAATCAGTCTTGACCAATACAAAGGCAAATACGTTGTTCTCTTCTTCTACCCATTGGATTTGTAAGTATTTTTTTGTTTATTAAAAAAAACACCCCACATCAGAATTGAACACATACATTGCAATGTTTTGGTAAATCGATATATTGACTCTAACGGCAAATATAATACAACCTTTCATTTTTAATTATTCGTCCAAGTTAGAAGTAGGTTTTTTGCCTACTTAGTCTCTATTTTTAATTTATCCAACTGCGGTTGAATTTACAATCGCTTATGGATGATTTTTGATTGGTGTCATTTTATTCAAATCGATTCGATACGGATGAAAAGCATATTTTTTTTATTCGTTAATGAAATCATTAAAAATATTGGTTTTTTCTCATTCAGCTGTTTGTTTTGAGCAGTTTTTAGTTGAACTACACCAATTTATTTCTTCGAAAAAAAATGTATCGTGCAGTTCATGGCAATCAAAATACATTGACATCGTTAGAAATATTCGGTTACTGTGGTATTTGTCCACTATAATTCATTTTAGCAATAAAAAGAGATAAAAGAAAACCCATAAGACAAGACAACTTCAAACACGCAATGATTTGTGCTGAGAGACAAAAAAAACTTTTGAAAGGTACCGTTCGCCAGCAGATAAACACTTTGTTCTCATCGTCACTCTACTTGTCTCGTTCACACTATTTGTCTTGTTCGCTCTTTGAGTGTTGTTTGTTCTGTTTGAGTGGAAACATAAAATTCATGACGAGCAATTTCTCTTCCACTTCAAAAACTTTCTGTTTTCGAGTCGGTTTTTGATCGGGTATTTGTATTGTGTTTGAAAAATGCTAATGAATTTCTCTTGAAAATATTGCATGCCGTAGGTTAATTGAGTTCAAAAAACGGTTGATTGTTTTAGAGATTATTTATTTATTTTGAAGAGTCACGCTATTATCTAATTTCTTAAAACATTCAAACTAACCAAACTGTTACTTTCTTTTTTTTCAGCACTTTCGTGTGCCCAACTGAAATTATTGCCTTTTCGGACCGTGCCGATGAATTCCGTCGCATCAATTGCGAAGTGATTGCTTGCTCAACTGACAGCCATTTCACTCATTTGGCATGGGTGAACCAAAGCCGCAAAGAAGGTGGTTTGGGCGAAATGAACATCCCACTTCTTGCCGATAAATCCATGAAAATTTCACGTGATTACGGTGTATTGGATGAAGAGAGTGGCATCCCATTCCGTGGTTTGTACATCATCGACTCCAAGGGAAATTTGCGTCAGATTACGGTAATTGAACTATATTTCTTTAAAAAGAAGAATAATTTCATTTACTTCAATTTTAATTGATCACACAGGTCAACGACCTTCCGGTCGGTCGTAGCGTTGATGAAACATTGCGTTTAGTTCAAGCATTCCAATTCACTGACGAACATGGTGAGGTCTGCCCTGCAGGCTGGAAACCAGGAAGCAAAACCATCAAACCAAGCGTTCAAGCATCAAAAGAATACTTCAACACAGCTAACTAAAATGAGTTTTGTATCTGAAAAATAATCAATGTTTTCGTATGAAATACACACAATGAGGCTATTTTAATGCCAATGCAAAACACCTTTCAGTATACCATTGTTATTATTAAATACTAAACAAAATGAATTTAATAAACAAAAAAAAAGAATCTAAAATGTTCAGTTATCAATAGATTTCACATTGGTCCATATTATGTCAGTTAATGTTTTTTTTTTACGATTTTTTATGTTTCATTTCGTTGAATTGGATTTTTTTTATATCGAAAATTTAAAATGAGAATTAATAAATAAAATACATTCAATCTATGGAGCTTTACTTTGAAAACTAACAACGGTGGGTCTTTGTGAATAATTAAAACAGGTATAGCTCTGATCAATATTTCTACCTGAACGACTTCATACAGCTGTGTCTTCTGGACTTTTAATTCAAATTTGGAACGAACGTGAAAGATGTTGCTTTCGTTCATTTATTGACAACATGACGTTAATCGACTCTACCATATTCAATTCATTCGTGAATTTAATTCATTTGAGGATATTTTGTTAAGAAAGAAAATGATGTAATCTTATCAATTTGCTAGTCATTAATTAATGATATGGAGAATCACAACAAAATCAAATGTGGATTTCATTAGATATAAAGATTTATACGATAAATCATGTAATTTCTGTACATCCATAATTAAAAAATGTCATTCATATTACAAACTGATGATTTTTGGTGTCAGAAAGAATCAAAACTGGGCAACACTAGATATCAAAACGATTAAAAAATAAGGAAGACTATAAAAGTCTATGATTATTTTAGTGATTACATTTTTATAGGGTAACATGGTGCAATTTAGTTTCGAACTAAATAACAAAAGATAATAATCGAGAAAATAATTCAGAAGCAATCTGGATGTAATCACTCACAAAATGGAATCATTTACTTTATTGTAGTATCATTTAATTTAAATGCATGGGATTATAATCAATCATGCAGTAAGTAACTCATTTCCTCTAGTCAACTTTCCAGAATTAAAAATCATTTATTGAGAAAATTTGATGTGCATATCGAAAATTATACATTTTTCTATTCACTTGCCTGTTTACAAGCGACTTATGCATGCGGCAATTACCGCATGTAATACCAATTGGCATGAATATACTTCCGATGTATGGTTGAAAAATAAGTGCTACAGTTAAAATACATATGAAAAACGACGTATTTTTATCAGCATATTAAACCAGTACAACAGTGGACGAGTGTTTGGTCAATTAAATTGTGAGTATAAACTATATGCATAAATTTCATTATATAAAACATCTCTTTTTTTCGTCTTTTCATAATAAAGAAAATATATATTTTATATATATATATAAAATGCATCGAAGACAGTGCATGTATCGTAAACGATCAGTGAATGTATCGTAAGTTTTCTATGAATATATTTTTAGATGTATTTTTCTCTCTATCTCTGTTCGTCTCACTTGCCATTGCCGATTCATCCGAGTCACGAATAATCAACAAACGGGATGATTCAATGAGACAAACCGAGAAACGAACAACAGAGAAGAAAAAATAAAACAAAGAATTCTCTCTATAATTGCTATTATTATTATTGGATGAAAATCTATATGTATTTGTACTACGAGGGTTGCTCCTTAAGTTCGAATAATATGGTACATTTGGTGCTGCCAGATGCAAACCATTGTCATATTCGTAAAGTTGGGCATTTTTCATGAACAATAACCATTACAGAAGGAATTTTGGTTTTGTGGTGTGGCTACGGCAGCAGCTTAGACATGACACCCCAAAAAGTACACTTTTTTGGATATACACTCAATTTCAAATAAGAACAATATATTATATCCAACTGATTTTGGTCTCTTGTAGACAGAGAGGTAACGAATTAGACGTACACGGAGAATGGTGCATCAATTCGATCTTTTTAGTGGTCAAATAGTCGACTGTTTGATGGGCTGATTTTTGCCCTGATTGGGGATCATAAGTTTCAGAGGTTCGGTTTTCATATCTCCATGATGACTTCTGGCAGGTAAATGGTTGTATACTGTTCAGCATTGAAGGACCTTTGATCCTCTAAAAACATGGTAACAACATAACCCCTAACACCGTAAAATAATGCGGTCCTCTTTTTCATCATCACTTCACAAGCGAACAACTTTTGTTGGATTGAGTTCATGTTCGAAGACTTTAGAGTCGACCATGCTTTTCTTTCGGGTCCAAAGGACTGGAATCATGTCTTGTCTTCTATTTCGATCGTATAGACGTGTTTTTATGATCCTATATAGGATGTGTTAAGTTTACTTGGACATTTCCTACTGCCAAATGAATGGGTAAGGATAATCATGACCTCCAAACATTCTTTAAAAAAATACCGATACAAGACGGCGAGGGGGAAATAACTATTAGTGTACGTGCTCGGCATTAGCAGGCATTGGTACGCATTTGCACGTATTGGCAGTCTACACTTGCAAGCAGTTTTACAGTCTAAGCACGATAGCGAAGTGACTGTATGCGTTGCTAACAAATACGCTTGCGAATGTTCCTTAACGTATGCGCTGCCATGTGCAGCATTTGATGAGCATTTGCAAACGTTATTTCCCCCTAGCAAGACGGTGAATTAAAATAAATGAGATACTAACTCGCGTTTAAAATAAATCTGATACTTGAAAAATATTGAAAATAAAAGTGGTATGTATCACACGAAGCCTGATCATGCCCGTAGCTAACAACACCTCTAATGCGTATTCCGAGTACTAATTGACGTTTGTGACAATATGGCCGTCACGGTTGGGCAAAATCATAATGAATCGATTAAACTGCGTTAAACTGTTAAAATAAAACAGTAGAAATAAATAGATTTTAATTTTTTACATTTTTGAAAATAAAAAATCTTTTGTTTTTTTAATTTTGTGAGATTTTCTGTCCACAATATTCAAAAATATTAAATTAATAAAAATGAATTAGTTGACATAACCTCACTTTCGTTTTAATAATTATTTGATCGGTTTATCACGATTGTGACACAAAAGTGAGGTTATGTCAACCAATTCATTTTTATTGATTTAATATTTTTGAATATTGTGGACAGAAAATCTCACAAAATTAAAAAACAAAAGATTTTTTATTTTCAAAAATGTAAAAAATTAAAATTTATTTATTTCTACTGTTTTAATTTAACAGTTTAACGCAGTTTAATCGATTCATTATGATTTTGCCAAACCGGGACAGCCATATTGTCACAAACGTCAATTAGTACTCGGAATACGCATTAGAGGTGTTGTTAGTTACAAGTTTTATATAGGAAATCCTATACCATGATCGGGCTCCGGTATCACATTCATTTTCAATGTCGTTCAAGTATCAAATTCTGGCTAGTATACCATTTATTTTAACTCATTTGTGCATTATACCGAATCTCCGAGAGTTTCATATAAGCCTTCCCATGTAGATGGTAAAAAATCGTGAAAAATGAAAAAAATAATTAAAAATTTTTCTTCGATTTACAAATACTATTCAATTTTCTGTACCATCTGGTGAATCAGAATGAAAAAAATCGCATTCCTTATCACCCAAATCACGATTGGCATTCGGCCACTATTCAATAGGTGTTACATAGGAAGTTTATATGAAACTCTCGGAGACTCGGTATAGAGCACTCAAAAGTTGAGTAGTATTTTGATTAATGATGACATTTTTGAGAGTCACAAATTGGTCACTAAAATATGACACCATTTATTTGGATCTAAGTGTTCGCTTTGCTAGATTTCATTCAACTTCGACTTTTAGTGTGAAAATCGAAAAATTGATATTTCTGTCCCAAGGAGTTTGTTCAGAAAATGTCCGCCAGATGTCGTATCGAAATTTTCAAAACATTTTTGGAAATCACAAATTAATCACCAAAATACTGCATCCACGTTCGTCGTATGGTTCTTTTAGGGTTGTGTTTGTTCTTGTACGCAGTTTTCGCGAACGAACACAAACAAACACGAACAGCTGCGTTCATGACCAGCCTTAATGTATAATGGCCACTCGCTAATCGATGTTTGTCTGTGGAATTTTAAATCTAACCTTGTTTCCAGTGGACACTTTCCACCTGGTTTCCTTGAATATTAAGAGCGGTTTAAAAAGTAGCGTAAAATGTTAATTTTAAATTTTTATTTAAATTTATTTAACAAAATTTCTTATCATACAATCCCGCATTTCCATGCCTTTTTTGGCCATAGATTGAGGTAGACAGTCGTGCATAAAAATGTGAACATTTTTCAAAGTAATACCACTATTTGAAAAGTAACGATAAACTAAAATTAAATTAATGAAACAAATGAAAAATGACATTCTGAATGAAATCGAATTGATAAATAAAGAAAATTGTTTGTTTGTGAATATTCAATGAAATCGGTATAAAATGTTTGAAAAAATTATCTAATGTCGATTTGGCATATTAATCTCTCTGATATTATGAAAATGATTCGATCTACGATAATGTTGTGTGAGATCAATGACTACTAATACTTTGGTAACATTGAATAGCGTGGTGGTGTATTCCAAACGGCTGTGGACCGACGTCGAACAATAGGTTTGATTGTGGGGAAAATTTCTACCGAAATTGTGTTTTCTGCTTTTGAACCAAATAGTGTGTCAACAACTTTATTTCCAATTGCTGACTGCTTAATAATAACGCGAATTCGATTTTTGCTCCGGCTCCAATGAGGATTGTGTATTTCATCTTCATTTTCACTCTCAGTATCGTCGTCAGTTTGTAGTGTATCAAAACCGTATTCCATCATTGAGCTATTTGTAACAATAATGCTGTTCGATATCTTTGATTTATCGTACAGAACGACTTCTGGCAACGACGAGCCCGATGAACCGGTCGATTCAGTATCCTTTGATGGTTTTTTAATTTTCTTCGATGCAATTTGTGCCATTTCCTTTGATGTCGATGTCAAATTTGTTTTTGGCTTTGCACTATTCTTTGGATGTGACTGGGTTTTCTTTGATTTTGGCTCTGGCTGGGATGCAATTGCTTTCGTCTTTGCACGTTTTGCGTTGCTAACTAATTCTTTCTCACTATTTTTGCCGTTTTCCTTCGACAAATGTTTGAAATTTCGCTTGGAATTGTTGTTTGTATCCTGAAAAAAGACACATTTTTTGTTATATTCTTGAAAATATTGTTTATATTTTTTATAAACTTACATTCTCTTCCGGTTCAACAATGGTGAATGAGGAAACTTCAATATCTTCTGGAATTGGACGCAACTTACTTTTTGGCATGAAATATCGCTTCTGTTAAATTATTACAGTCATTAGTATATAATTTAGATAAAAACAAAACATGGTAACTATGACCCGTGACAAATGGAATGAAACACTTACAATTTCAAAGGTTGCCTTTTCTTTGGCTATCCTTGTTCGCGCTTCACGTATTGGTAAAATCGCTTTTTTTGACATTTCTACAATCTGTTGGAGAAAAAACATGAAATATATTTGATGTGAGTATTTTAAACAGAAAAATTGTTTGAAGGAGGTCAAAATAAGAGAATTTCTTGAAATTTAACATTCTGTCAAACTGTTATAACAATGAACGGTTCCTTTGGTTTTGAAAAACTTCTATTTTTACCTAATTATTTTTTTACCTTTGAATGTACAACAACTGCAAGAATTATTTTACAATAATTTTAAACTAGAACTTATTTCATAAACTTTGAAATTGATTTTAAAAATTGTTGGTTTTAAATACAAGCAACTACGGTATGTGAAAATAGACGCTAATTTGTTTTGGTTTTGTCACCGTTTGGTGTTAATGTTCCATCGTCTATTTAACTGTCAAAAAATGTGCGCCAAAACATATGGAATGCGTCCTGTCAATCGTATGTCATTGAACGCACCCATACTGGTCTCGTAAATATTGTTCATACACAAAAGGTACAAGCGCGATACTTGAACATTTTTTTTTATTCATTCATGCCATTCACATTATTTAATGAATTTAATTTTTAACACAATTTCAACACGTAGAAAATGAAATTATATATTCGGATATTTTTAGATGATTTGGTGTAGCAAATCATTTAATTAAATTGTTATAGAAGGTGGTGTTGATGCAGTCGACAAATTAAAATAATCTTATGGTTTGCTTACACTTAAAGTGTCTTCTTACAATAAAGTTATTTAAAAAAACGAATTATTTCCTTTGTGTAACACACAAATAATCCAATAATAAACAGATGGTCATATTACGTTTATAATGAAGCACATGGTGTATGTTTTCTCCTTACAGCAGCGATAAGAATTGTTATTATCTCTGTTGGAGAAAAAGTTCGACTATTTAAACGATGCGATGACTGGAAAGATAGGTAGCATGCGTAGTTACACTGGAACGAAAATGTTCCGTTGAGTCCTGAGCACGCAGTACGCATTCACTTTCCAGTGGATGTTGAATGGATGGAAAATGGTCCATTCCACATAGTATTCAAGCTCATGAACAACTCTATCACTGATAGTAGCATTCAGTTTATCAACGACATACCAAACATATGGATCGTTGCAAAATCGCTTGTCTTGTGCTCTCGCAAAATTCGTATCCAGTCAGTTACGAGAAAAACAATTGCCAATTGAATCGATGGTGAATACGTGATTCATATATGTAAGGCAAAAATAAAAAGTTTCTCATATTGTTTGTAATCTGTTCCTCATAAATTGAACTTTTGCATCAAACACATTGTGACTCTATCATTAAAAATTTTTTTAGAGAGTGCCATTTTATCACCCATTAAGAGATACATTGAGGTGATTTATTAAGCCTGAGCAAAAAAAAAGTTGATATCTTTTCATTTAGCTACGGATGTTTGATTGTTGTTTGTTCAGTAGAGTAGCAGAAAAAAAGTGTATGTGTTGCGTTGATGAGCTCATTGTTTTCAAATATCTCTGGGGCCATTTGAAGAAAATTTTCTGCAATGTGTAATAAAATCCACGTTTCGTTCGCGAACGAATTTACGATCTTTACTTAGCATTCGAATAATTCCGTTGAAAAACGAACAAAGTTTATACATATATTATTCGGTTAAATACTACGGCAACAAAAAAATCGAGGCGATATAACTGTCTATGCTCTTGAACGAATTTTAAGAAACTCATCCAGATCAGCCGAAAAATTTACCAGCCACTACGTGTAGTGACTAGTGAGGCGAAATAGATAATTTTCTCGGAACGGATTTGTTCTTCACTAAATGTGAGTACGAAGATAAAGTAATTTTAGAAAAAATATATAAACTCTGAAACGATTTTCTATTTTATTCCATTCTGTGCTTAGTTCCATTGAGATAACAAATTATTCGAATCGCTGGATTCACTTTTTACTATGCACTATGTTAAACTCTATTTAACTCGAATAAAGTTTACCACTATTTTGAAATGTCTACATTTTTCGAACGAATAACCCCCCAACACTGGAAATGCTAGATAGCAAATTGCATGCATAAAATTTTCGTTGCACTCTCGACCCAATCATAAAATAAACAAACAAATGTGAACCACATAAAATTTTCAAAAAAAAAAAAAACCATCAGCCAAACCAAAACAACTCTGTGCGGTGCAAAAAAGCTATTTGTACATTGTTGATGAAATGCAACAACATTCGTTGCTAAACTGAATCCCAACGGATTTCAATTTCTACAGATTTTCCCTTTCACTGAGTAAACCTTTTTTTATATTGAAAAAAAGAAATGAAAATAAATCTGATAAAAGGAAACCCAAGATTTCGCACATTTTCACTTTTGAACCATTCAATGTTGAATTTTTCCCTTCTATTTCGCATTTCCTTCGTAAATACCAACGAAAATGTGGGCATACCGTTCAATTTCAAAAGAAGTTGTTTGTCTGCAAATCGACTTTTTGCTTAGTTTCTGTTGAATTTGTTAAAACAATATTAGATATGCTGTTTATCGATTTGTGCCTTTTCTCAATTCAATGGTTTTTTTTTCTAGTCGATTGATCACAGAAATTCTGAACATAATAATTTGCTAGAAATTCTGAATAATTTGCTAAATTTGAAATTCAACGTACATATGCCTAGAAGTATAGACATCATTTGGTTTATTTCGATACATTTTTATTTTATTTCAATTCATCGTGAAAACACGCGCACTTCAGTAGGTTTAATTAGTTTATCTGTGCGTCATACGCTCCTTGTAATATTCTTGTGGGCTTTCTTTGATTTCAAATACTGTTTAGCACTTCATTGGTGCCGCTTGCTTCTTCTCTATAGTCACGCACTTATCGATTATTTGTTATTGCATGTTTTCCATCAATGTAAAACATTTTATTGCGTAACGCCATCACAACGGAATGTGAACAACTTCAGTTTTTCGCAACGACTGATGGGATTTATAAGACAAGTGTATCGAACAATATCTATCAAGTATTCTGTTAAATTGAAAGGTTTTCCATGGAATACCTTATTCTATTTGAAAACGCTGTCACTTCGTCAACTATAATCAAGTTTTGTATGAAGACAATCAAATCACATTGCTATCTCCATGGTTTTGTGCGAATATTTTGTGTACAACAGCTCTCGAAGTGTTTGCATTTTATTGAATAACAAAGGAAAGTAAACTAAAAGAAAGAGAGATTGTTTTCATTACACCGAGAATCTCTCTATTGTGTTGAATCTGTTTGATGTAGACATTCATACAGTAGTCATTGCAACAGACATTTACTTTCTAAGCTAGAATAGTTCAAATTGTTTCTTTGCTGTCATTCACAAAAACGAAGCAACCAGGTTACATTTTTCTTTTACAAAATCAGAATTGTATTGAACGAAACTTGATCGCATTTGAGAAATTGAAGTTATTATTCGTGGCAAAATGTTGAACTGCAATTGTATTGTGGATGGAAATGCGGAGCAACCAAAGAAGATGTACATTTTGAATGATCAAATTTTCGACGAAGAGCAATATCGAAATCTGATTGATACAAGTGACAATGATGTTGGATTACAGCAAGGCACACGTAATACGAAGACAAATACATTGTTTCCAATGACGAAAAATGCACTATACGATTTTCAATTTCAGAATCAACATCGATTGGTCTTTCGAACGCCAAAGAAGATACGACTGAAAATGGTTTAGTTTTTGATAAATTACGTATCAGTTTGAAAGTGAGCAAAGTAAATGAGGGAATTTCTGACGTCGGCAGTGTGAATGAAACCGACAAAGAAAAGAACATTGAAGGCAACAAAGACAAAATGACAACATGGAACTATAATGTTCGAAATATGCGGCCAAAGAAAACGTATCTTTTAAACGAGCAAATTTTTGACGAAGAACAGTTCAAAAAGCTGGTTACCATTTTACCAGCTAGCAAGAATTTTCCGGGCAAACGTAATAAAACATGATAAACATTGTTTCAGACTGAAAATATACGGTACGATTTTTAAATTTCAGATCGAAAATTGATTGGTCGTTCGAATATCGTCGACGATACAAATGAATTTCAGCCACATTGCGTTGATAAACTGCACATCAATTTTGAAGTGAATAAAGCTAATATTGACAATGAAAACCATTGAACTTTAAACAGCCAATCAAATGAAGTCGTCCATGTAGCGAGCGCATTCATTTCACGTAGATGCATTTTATGAGTCTATTATTTTATCGATAAAAATATATTCCAATAAAATTGCACATAAAATTGATTGGATTTATTTATTTTTTCGGGAATTTTTATAAAACTCAATCAATCCGTAAAATGTCTTTATTCGAAATCAAGCCGAGAGCTTGGAAGACGAACAAATGTCCTGAAATGATTTTTATTCGCTCATAAAATAATATTAATTACAGTTTTTATTGCGTTGGAAAATTCCGCTGAAAAAATGAACGAAGAACGAAATGAAAAACCATCAAAATCAAAACCCGGCCAAAATTCAACGGTCGCCTTCGAGTTCTATAAATGATGGTGCCGAGTTTATTATGGAAGAAATTGATGTAATAAGCAGTTGGACTGATACGATAATTTTCTGCTTGTCTATAAAAAATATACGAAAGCAATAAATAAGACGAGGAAAGAAAATTTCACGCCTTTGGTTCGAAGAAATCAAAAACACAGCACAGCAAAAAATTGAAAAATGACTACGAATTTAATTTTATGTGTCAAATACAGACAAAATACAAAAAAAACAGTATACGAAGAATATCAAAAAGAGCTGATGAGTTCAAAATATATCTCAAAGATGTATCGAAATGTCGAGACAACTGCAAATTCGCATTCAGTAATCCGAGTGTAAGCAAAGCAAACCAAAAGTTAACGAAAAACATAATAAGCCAATGACCCGACTTGCAGTAGATGAAAGACACGTCTCTTCATCCAAAAACCGAACAATGTTTTCAATGAATAAAAGCCAAAAAACACTGTCTTTCACTTAATTAAGCAAAAAGTAACATTGAATTAACCAGAACCACAACGCTATGTCACAAAATCGATAGTCTTTGAGCTGTTTTGAAGTGAAAATTCCGAAAATGTCCAAACTTAGACTGCTAAATATAATTTGTGAAAAGATGGAGTCAAATAAGATATAGGTAGTCAGTCAAATTAAATTTGGAAGAATCTAAGAAAGGAAATTATCTCAAAATCTTGCGCAAAATTAAATAATTCGCATTATTTGACACAAAATGTAACGCGAAAACCTTTACATCAAAATGCAAAAACCAAAAATACACTAAATTTTGACTCTGATACCAAAAGATTTGACGATAGAGCGGACAAGAAAATAACAATGAAAATTCTTCATGCAGCTGTTTACATATAACGTCGCAATGTTATGAATGAAGTTGATAACTTATTCGATAGCGATTTTTAATACGAAGAATGGTCCTACATATAATAAAATGGAATGGAATGCACAGCATCACCATCACAATTGTTATCCGCTATCATTGCTTGTAATCAGCAACATTCTTCACTGATATTCAATTTATATTGTGCAATGTTTGAATTACTTGTTACAACTAGTAACAATGTTATCGTAAAATGAAAAAAACACATAAACTGTGCATACACGTCGTTTTAGCATTTGACTCACGAGAGTTGAAAATAAAATAAAGCCATTGAAATATCCGCAAGCATAAAGTTGAACATATCGCAGTTCTTGGAATTCATAACAATGTTTGTTCCACAGAGAATTGGATTAATGATGAAAGCATCAAACGACGAAGGGGGAAAAAAGTTTGACTCATGAAAATAATAGTTAACACTAAAAACGTTCTAACACTAGGTCATTTCAGGCCATATAAATTTGATAGGCACTTTCAATGCCTACTCGAAAATTCATGTTCAAAAAGCAATTTAAAAAGGTGATAGTCAACAACAATGACATTTGCCTTTATTTATTACATAAATAGTCCTTTTTCATTCGTATGGTGAATGTCTCACGTCAAAAATAAACCAGACACGTAAGATTTATGAAGTCGACTCGAGACTTTTTAACTTTTCTAGTAGTAAAAAGATGCCAAACATTGATGGAAAACATATAAGAGCGTAACATAGAAAAATATTCAAAAGAAATTATGTATAATATACTTCATTAAAAATGCTTTCTATGCGAAACAAAATAAAAAGAAAATATTTTGCTCGCGTCACCAATATTTTTTTTCATCGAAACAAGAATGAAGAGTTTTTTTTTTCATGTTGTGCAAATACATTGACATGCACTCCAATAGTCCCACAAAATGGAACATCATTAAAAACATCAGGCTTCTAGCTGGAAAATTAAACAGACTTACCCATGTCACATTGAAAGCGATGCTCAGAAAAAGTGTGCGCCAGTGTGTGTGTATGTTAAGATTTTCCCGCAAATGATGCTTTCCACATATTAAAGCTACATAATATGCTCTAAAAAATGTGCGTCTCTCATCTGGGCATTTCTACCTCCCTTCCAAACATACTATTACGCATACATACAAACATGACAAAGACCTTCGACACTTATACAGTTGGTGTTCCCGTAGGCGCTTTCATTTTCGCATGCTCACATACATGCCTCTTTGTTCCCGTTTTTTTTACGCACTTCTCATCATTCCCTCTGTCTTTTATGGATTTTTCCATCGTGACAGACATTTGCGTAGTCCAATCTATATGGAAAATCATGATTCGCCTAAACCGATTTGGATTTGTGCTGTTTTCGTTGTAATAGTGGCATTTTTGCCAAAAATTGAGAATATGACAGTGCGGAAATTTGAAGAAGAATAACAAAAACAAATCAGTCATGTTATATATGGTGCGATGATGGCTTCTATCATAAAATTCAATATTTTTGGAGCCTCATATCGATATTGTATTTGTTCATAGAGAAAATAAATCCAACAATTGAGCTGAAATCCTGTAAATGTTTACTGTTCAACGACACTTTTGTTTGATTTCATAATATTTGCGTTTTATTAACGAATCACAAACGTTGGAAATCAAATTGTAAATGGCTTCCGTCATAACATCATCTGCAAGGACATGAAACCATTTATTGTTCATTTCAGATTTCATTACGTACTGCATGTGTTATATTCTCTATCACATTCACTTTGTCTTCGAAGCAATAATTTCGTTCCTTTTGTGATGCGAAGAACGATGTTCATTCATCATATTTCAAAACAATGCAATCAAGTCTTTGCATTCAAAGAAACCCCATAAAAAATGTACTGTAAAATATTTTTACTAGCTTTTTGATTTAATGCTCCTGTGTTATTGACATTGTTGTGAATGTAGCAAAGACACCATATATTTTTCACAAAGAAATATTCAGTCGGGACCATACTCGGTCGGGAAGTAAATCACATTTGTGCAAACTCGACAAACGATAAGAGGCGCATTAGCTTTCGACGGTTTTAAAAATGACTTGAAAATGTCTTTATCGTCCACCAGGTGCCCGATGTATACCGTCCACAGTTAAATTAATGAACTAATGTCGCAAACATAACTTGTAATCGATCAAAAGTTGTCCGAAACAAATCTGCAGATTTTCAGATGGATAATTATCATCAGATTTCGCGCAACAAATGTGGGCGACCTAAATAATTGTAATCTTTCTTAATGCCCGATGAATCAAAATTAATGAACAATCGTGTAATTGGAAAATTTTCCAGAGATTGTCATAAGATATCAGCGATACACGTGTAACAGCTTGCTAAAGGAACGGCGCACAAACATTTTATCGACATCATTGAATTTAAGACAGTTTCTAAGGTGGCTAAGTCTAAAGCAGCGTGGAATGAATAAAACATTGAGCGTTGATTAAACAGTGGTCCAAGAGAGATAATAATTCATCTCTCGGCTCAACAAGTGACAAGATACCCAACAAACGAACAAAGATGACGATGATAAAATACCATTTGAAATACAGATATGGTTTCGTTATATCTACCACGTCCAACTAATCATATATCATAAATTGAGTGGGATAACGAAAAGCAGTGACCAAAAACACAAAACTATTATGTGAATTGTCAGACAGATGTCGTGTGTATGAATTGAAACAATATTTTTGCGAAAATGAATCAGATGGCGATATGTGTGTACGATTGTTATACCCAAAAATTGATAATATGCTTGAAAAGGACCGAATCGAAATAAGTTTATGTGAGCTTATAGTTTCATCAGTTTAACTTTATTCGTTTGTTTGCTGAGTTTGCAAAACTTTATTTGTTGAATTGTTTCTTTTTTTTGTTCTTGATTTTACATTTATTTTCGTTGTTATTTCGTAGTTCATTTTCAAATGCTCGAGGCGAAAAAATGTTCCATGTTAAAACAAACAAAAATAAAAATGTCACTCGAAACAATTTTCAGAGAAAAAAAGTTTCATCACATGGTCATTACTGTTGCAATTCTTAATAATGGTATAAGTATGGAATTTTCCCAAGTCAAAAGAGAAATGAAAATATACAAGCAAATCTTTTTTTCTTCTCTCGAATTGCTTTCGGTTGATTGTTTTTTTTTTGTTGTTGATGTTTTTATGAAACACGGTCAACATAATGAAGTCTGATTACGTCGAATTCTTTCGCTCAAAGGAACAATAACATAAAAGACCAGACGATTTTATAGCCATTTTCAAAGAATTCAAAAGCTATTGAAGTACCAAAAATGAAACAACAAACAAGCACTGCTTTCAACAAAGTCACCCTTGATTCGTACTCAACTCTGCCTTTGATTCTCAAAGACCAACGACTGTGCGCTTGATGTACACCAGTTGAAATTAAGTACAAAATTAAAGTCGATAATTCTACAGTTTCTCTCCCGTTAGCTTGAATTTTACAAACGAAAGCTTTAGTTCGAATAAAATGTGAGGTAGAAATTAATTGCATCATTTTGTTTAGGACACTGAAAAAGGAAATGTTCCCATCGGAACCGAAATTCGGTCGAATGTTGAAATTATCAGATTATTCGTTCGTTCCGTTCTATATGCATTACATGTGTACCGTTGATGCGCGACTTGGAAATGGAACTTTTCTCATATTTATCGTCGTGCACGGCTAGTCAGATGCACGACTCAGAAAAGTCACATAGTGGAATTTTATGTGTGTTCCATTTACGTTCGGGAGTAATCCATTAATTTCCGCTCATTACATAAACTTCATGTGATATTAACCGAATGTATATTGTGGCATGTGAGTGGTAAGGCATCGGGTGAAATGCGCATTTCCGCATTTATTTGCCATGTTAACTCAAATGTTGTGTTTCTGTGTAAAAATGTTCTGTTGATTGCGTGTGAAACGCCACTAAATATGTGGCCCGAGCGTACATCTCGAATGGTGAGAAAAAAACTCGTGCAGTTTCCATGTGTCTTTTGAAATTGCAGAATAAAAGAGTCACTTTAAAATTGTAAAGAGAGCGCCGTTGTGAAGCTAATCTTAAGCTCCGGCACGTAAGCATCATCCAAGCATTTAAATTCATTATTTTTTGCGAGTATTTACATAATCAGCTCTAATCCATTGAAATGAAAACGACTTCTTCGTTGGATGTTGACGCACTCGTATGCAATCACAACGCACACGCTTTCATGTTAGCTCACATTGTCTATGTTTATCTTGGCTTCAATTTTCTTTTTTATCACATAAATTTTGTGCAGCAGCGCGAATAAACTCATGCCAACAGATACCATGAATATTGTATATCATTTGGAGTGCGCAAATATAATGATTTCTTATTCTATTAAGTATTTATCGCTGAATTTGTTATGCACTTAACATTTTTCAGTGACGTTGAATGTGATGAATAGTAGGTTAAAAGCCGCAAAAACATTCAATTATTTACGGCAAAAAAGTTGTATTACAACATTTTTGAATGAGGTCGAGCGTTTGACATATCTCATGGAAACTAATTTTGCCAGTACTTCACTGTATCGAATTCAATCTCTCCAAAACATTGAAGAACTCTCGATATTTTGAGGTATGAGCCCCATACTATGCGAAAAGGATGTTTAGTATATAGAGTGGAGTCAATTGTGAATTTATGAAGCCAAGTAATGTCATGCTCATGTTTGTTGATGCTTGTATTTTGGCATTTATGAAGGACGTTGCTTTTTCGTAAACAAGCCAACAACCGTCGCTACCGCATCTTTCACCATTTCCACACGCTTATGTTTGCTTTTTGGTTCTGGCAATTTATTACAATATTCACAAGAGATTAATACGTTTTATGCAAGATGCTTTTGTTTTATTACGCGGCATATGCAAACACACTTCCGGAGGTGAAATTTCGACAAATCGACCCTGTATTTTATCAGATCTAATGTGCTGGAATGAATTTTACTCTATTATTTATTTATCGCTAAATCATTGTGCTGACACTTCAGAGCCCAGTTCTCCACACAAAACAGATGCACATTAAAAATCCAATGGATGCCTCTATTCAGCTTAAACCGCCAAACTCTCAGTGTGTCAACAATCGAATGTCAGTAGGAGTCAGTGAATTTTCTCCTTTTCATGCTTCATCATAAATTCATACCCTATGTATAAGTACGGTGTATAAACATACCGTTGTAGACCTAAAATGGCTCTGTGTCAACGCAATAACGTGCAATTTATGATATATTCCAAAAAGGACCAAATACAGTTGCATTCAGTTACTAAAGTAATAACAGTTATAGTATTAATCATAATAAGCGATCTCATGCATGCATATTGAATATTCATGTAAATAAGGGCCTAATTAGTTCATTAAATACCGTATCATTTCAAACGTATATATAGAAATAAATTATTCCATTTTGGGGTCATGTTGTGAGTCCAACCAACCAGTTCTCTCTCTCTGTATATTTGAGTCGGTGCCACCTAATAATGTGATTATGTATATTTCAGATAATTTCATCGGCCGTACGTCACAAATCGCATTTCATCATGTTACTTCTACGGAAATCGATTGCGTACGTCTTCATTGGGCTTTTCTATTTTCTGTTCAGTGCTAAGGTTGAAGGCCGTGTAGCTGGCAAAGTCGGTGGAAGTGGAGGAAACTACTATAGTGGTGAGTCTTACTTGTTTACATAACATTACAATTTTGAAAGAAAAAAAATGAAATTTCAGTTCGGAAGAAAAAAAAATGCTGTACATCACACCCACTTTGTAATATCTCATAGTTGAACGTGATTGCAAGTCACATATTTGCTTCGGACAAATGTTTGCATGAACTAGCAAAGTTTTCAGTGGCGTGTTGTTTTTTGAGGGTTTTATTTTTTGGCGGAATATGTGCTGTTCGAATATGAGCAATCGCAAATTGATCAAACATAATTCATTCAATTTATGGGAACATGTGCAAGACAACAGAAGCATCAATCATGTCTGTCATAACTTCCAATTTATGGCATAGAGTAGGATCTATAGTGTGCATAAAAGGCATACAGATGTAACGATTGAATCAAATATTCAACTGTATATTCCAACCGAACCTGTGCACATTTTACATACGAATTTAATGTCGATTTGAGTGACTGTATAATAATGTTCTGTGTATTGTATCCTGTGGATAACTTGTTTTTAGTTTTGTCAGTAAAATTTCCAATATTTGCATATTTATCCGTACAACGGAATGTATCACGCTGTTCGCGCTTCGTGTGTGTGCATGAGTTTAATGTGTATGCTCCGTAATAGAACAACTTTAAAGCGAGCTCATGCAACATTGTTGGAATAAATTCGTTAACATACTACGCCATTACAAGCATAGCTACATGGGTTTAATCATGCTGCAACTTGTACTTTATCATGCAAATTGAATTTCATCCTGCCAAAAAAAAGAACATGAAGAGGGCCTTGAAACAAACATGCGCAAGGTGTCGATTGGTGAGGTGGGTCATCAACGTGTTCTGATCCCTGAATGTCTGAAGTACCTTTGTCCGAAGTTTTGTTCTCGAACATTTGCGGTTGCAATTTTCGGTAAACAGAGTGTGTGTGGCGAATATGAAAATTACCTTTAATGTCATGCACACGCAAATTGCAAAAGTTGGCACAAATATCATACGAAATTGACAAAAAAAACTTTCATCATATATGCCAAAACTGCAAATTGTTCGTGTGTGCACACGAAATGGATTCGATGAAAATTCACGAAAAAAAATCCTCTTCATTGAAAGGATGTCGAGCGTTGGTTACAAGTACTTTCGAAGTACCTCTTATCGTGTCAAATTGTCGTATATCCAATAAACGTTTAAAATAAAGAGTTTCCTATGGCAGTTTGTGACAGCACCACTTGATCGTATCAAACAATGAACAAAACGACAATCAATTCAACGATTTTACGTGTTGCGATTCATTTTGTTGTTGCAATTTTCACATGGATGCAGATACTATCTACCGTTGAAGATGTAAGAAGTATTTTCGTGACAAAACTTAAGATTATGCCATTGTTCATTTATTGAATGTTATAACTGAAGTTTCGCATATTTACCTCGAGGGAAATTTCAAAACTGTGGTACCATTTATATCAATCCCATTACTATTTTCGAGAAAGTTAAAATATTTTGTTGATTAGTTAAACTTTCTCTTCTACAACAAAAACGAGAAATATTCATGTTCATTCGTAAAATATATTTTATTAAATGGGAATCGGATGAAAAAGTGTACAAAATGCATGCCAATTTAAGTGAGCACTTTACACTTCAAGGAATTTCAAACTCCGTTCGTTAGATTTCCTCTTGAGCGTTAAACGTTCCATTTCTCTTCAATACAATATGTGAGTGCAAATTGATTTTTACATTTCCGTTTCGATTATTTATTGTTGAACAATATCGAAATTTACGGAATTCCATAGAGCAAAGCTTATTTCATCATGCGGATGTGTAAATGGTGCACAGAAAAAAGTTGGAAAGCGTGATGTGCTTGAGTGATAATCTCCGAGTCGTCGAAAATATTTTTCTTTTCGAAATTGCCATTAAAAATGGAAGACTTTTGTTTGTTTTGCAATAAATACACAAAGAAACTTAGTAGAATTTACAAATTCGGAGAAACATTTGAAAAAGTTATGGACCTTGAAAAAACATGCGACGAACAAAAAAAACGCAAGCAGTAAAAATATCTGATTTATTATATGTGCCATAAGAATGATCTGTTTGATTTTCGGTTGTAAAAAATACATTTTATGCGCTCCGAATTTTAACGTTCGCTATGCGAAGCATGAACGTTTTATTGGACGAACTTTACGAGAAGTACATGTACTATAAATGAAACGTGCTAATTTTCAAAAGAATCCACCGTTCTTAAGCTGGGGTGGATTAAAGTGTTCAAAAAACAATTGTTTAAATTCAGTACATAACTACTAAAATGAAAGCTTAATGAATTTGAAACTAGGTAAAAGCTCAAAAGTTGTGGAAACTATATTTACTACCAAATACTGACAATAGAAGCCGTCGCATAAGCTGCCTTCAGTTTGGTTCTATTGGGATGTTTCATAGGATTAAAATCGTCAACAACTAGAGCGATATAAACCTTTCTATCACGTTTTGCATTCCGCATTGGCTTTTCAATGTCGCCGGTTTGTCGTTGTTGTTGCTCATAATTTACGATTTCGAAAATGATGAATATATTGATTCAGTTAATGAAATGGCACAATTTGCATACCGAATTATTCGGTCAGTTAAACACATTTGCCATATTCCCATGGAGATGTTCAAGATCATGCTAATGAAATAAGGATATTGTGATAATCAAATTTGGTTTGTTTTCTCACAATTTACAGGAAAATCTTACAGCGGTATCAACGATGAACTCATCATGGTCAGCATTGGAATGGGTAAGCAATTTATACTTCTAAACATTTCCATTCGTTTTTCATCTCGAATAAATGATGTGATTTTATTTTCTGTGCTTGCAGCGATCACGATAGCTGTCCTCATCACGATTGCTCTTTGCTATATTGCCAGAGAAAAATGTCAGAAACATCGTGAATACTATGTTACAGCATAATTTAAACATCGAGTCTACGTTTTCTAATCGACGAAAACGTGACACACTTTCCCGAGTAAACCCCCAAGCGGCCAAGCACCATTAACTCTCTCTTTTTTGTTGTTCGTCCCTTTTCTCGTCACACATCACTCTGCATGCATACAACAACGAAGAACGCCACAGTTGGATTGACTGCTCTGTTCATCTCTAAACAACAGTGTTGCTAGTGTTTAGAAATGATTTCAAAGTGTATACAGCAACAACCATAAACTATTGTTTGCAGTGTGAACGCTGGAGGAGTGTATACTCAACAATCCTTTTTCGTCGCCCGAGATGAGTGGAAAGCTCGTAGAAAGTGTAAACATTTGACATATACAAAAATAGACGCAGCGCGGACAAATACTCATACAAAACCAAACTAGAAATATTCCACTAAAATGTTACAGACGCTGGGCGGCCAAGTGATTGCGGCCAACATTTGGCAGTTTACATCAAATAAAAGATTTCAAAAGAAAGAACGTCCAGCGTCGGTCGTTATCTGTCAAATGACCAACATGTTGTTTACATCAAGTGTATTGGAACATTACTATTTGCATTTTGTGTGAGTAGGAAATGTTGTTGGTGTTTTGTTTGTATAAAGATTGCCTCGAATGAGAATGTAATATATATTGCACTTCGATTCGACTAAAAATTAGCTGCGAGCAAATTTCTGCAATTACATTATTTGCAATGCTACAATTACTATGTTTGTTTCAATGCACACTTTGTATGAACAGAGGCGACAATTGTAAGGCACGAGTAATATAATATATATGTACATATGGATTGTGCATTTGCTTGTGAATTCGTTTTTTCACACATCAGTGAGCCATGAATGTGAACCAATATATTAAGTTCTGGCAGATACAATTCACCACAAAAGAGTAAAATAATACGTAAATGCAAAATATATTGGCATGGTATATTTATATACAATGCACAATCCACACGGCAAAAACAATAGAAAACACATAAAAATGTAGAGAAGAACGTGAGGAAAGGCGAGCAAGAGCGAAATAAAGTGAGAAAATGGAAGAGAGAGAAAGAGGCGGGAAACATTCATTAGATGCGACATTCATCGAATAGTACATGTGATTTCGTTCATTTGTATTCATTAAAAAACAGAAATCAATATATTGAAATGACATTGTGTGCGTCCGTATTTTTTCACATTATATATTTATAAATATTGCGAACAAAAGACTAGACTCATGGGAAAATGTTCGATGCATATTTTGCTTCATCACACAATAAGCTGGTATTAAATACGAATTTTTTTGTCTCAATTGCTGTAATAATGCTATCTGAAATGCTGTTTCTATTTAATATCGGTGGTAATAAAAATAAAGCTGCTGTTTTACGAGGGGTGGCTTACATACCAAAGCTGTATGTATGTCATTCATTAATTGTGAGTGCTCCAAGTTGGCCACTTCAAGCGCTAATGTCTTTTTAGATCTCGTATCTGTGTTGGCCTACACACATTCCAGTTATATATTGTGTTTGTATTTGAAATCGAATTTTCATCGAATGTGGATAATATTGTGGTTTTGTTTATTTATGTGTGGACAGTTTAAGTGAGCATGACTCCTCAATCAAGGCCAAATAAGAGTGATCCCATTTTATTTAGAGCTGAAAATCGTATATATAAATACTAAATTTAATCCATGATGGTTTTCTATATATATTCAGTCTGTTCGAGCTGCATTTCGTATAAAGTCAAACCAACTGGCCCCCGAATGGGAGAATCACCATTCTGAAGATGTTTAACTGTGACAAAACCGTTACGTTGTTTCCTTGAATAGAAATTACTTTTTCCACTCACTTTTCACTCGTTTTTATTATCGCTGCATCTTCAATTTATTCAACGTCGTTCGAATGTGATTCTCTCATTGGTTTGTGGAAACCAGTATGCTGTTTGTCGAAGAAGATTGTAAACGGTGACAATGTGTATAGAATTTATTTCAATGTCAAGTCGAACTCGTTTCGCTTATCATTTCGTCCAGACATCGCCCACTTTTTTTGTTATTTCTCATTCTTTGTTTTCTATTCTGGCAACACGTACGATGTGCGTTACACGATCTGATGTTTCAAAGAGACAGAATAACAAGAGAGTTTTTAAAATACAAAGTGCGTCTTGCATGCCATGTTCAAATACATAATCTGCGTTCAAATTGCATTTGACATAAATTTTCAATTTGATTATGGTTTAAGACACGAATATACATGAATTGAAAGCATGTTCACCGCATTGAATACGGTTTTAGGCATCGTCTAACCCATTCGCATCCACATCAATCAGATGTACGGGGTTGCCCATCAGAAATTTTGGATTCATTGCGATAGCATTCGACGTGGTGTGTGTTTTGCAATAAAATTGATTGAGGTCATAGGTTGATATGCTCCTGAACAAAAAAAGAATGTACATGTGCCAAACAAAAATCGACGTCGTAAACATCGGTTGCATGAGTCGTAAGTAAATCGAATCCTCGTTCTTCGTCTATCGATTAATCGGTGTTCATTGTGTCAAGCGAGATGAGATCGACGACCGCATATCTGAAATCTCAACATTTCAGAGAGCGAACGAGAGCCAACATGTTGGCGTGGCGCGTATTGGTTATAAGATCCAAAACGAATATCGAGGAGTGCAATTAATTGGGTGTGCGCACGAAAATCCAATTAGCAAGATGAGAATTTTTTTTCTAATAATGTGAAAACATCTCATTGCTGTGTAAAATTACGAGAACGAAGAAGAAAAAACTGTGAGAAAATCGCATTTGTATGGGGCAAAATAAAAAAAGCGCGCCCATCAATTTTAATTAAATGACACCCACCGCACATATACACATCAAGTCAGTCTCTGTGCAAATGGTGAAACAAAAATTAAAATTCCACCACCACTGCGTGAAAACACATCAGTATCCTGAGGTCACTTTAAATCCATTTAATAGAGAAAAAACTTGTTTGCTTCATTCGCTGGTTGTTTGTTTTTTGTTCAAGTATAGAGTACCATCGATGTAGAGAAAAAAACGCCACCCAACAACGAGATACACGAAATATACAGACAGCTGGATGCGTTTGAGTTGTTCGTGTTCACGTGATGTACATATACCAAATAGAGCTGAAATGAATTGAGGGTATCTCTCTGCGTGTTGGTGAAATGAGACGAGACTTTGGAAACTATTGAAGTTACCACAAGCATGGTTTGAATGAATAGAACACGTTGCGGTTCATTGTTAAAGAGAAGCGTGCACCAAAGTTGTAAAATAGATCGGAATTGCTCTACACCAATGGTTTTGAATTGATTTCAACATTTTTCCATCCACTATTGTGCATCGATTTTTTTTTGTTCTGCTACCTTTACGTTTGCTATTTAATGCAAAATAAGAAAAAATGCACCTCCGGTGAAATATGCCACAGATGCATTACTCAACCTGAATTCATAACATTGTCCGTGATGCTTGTTTTTCTGTACGCACGTGAGAGATTCACTCAAGCATTTGGGAAGTATTTCATCGATTTTTTTCCCTCGGTGCATTTCCATGGTTGCATGGTTATTTTTTTTTTTTTTTTTAATGACAATAAATGTTTTAACAAGAAATGTGTATATATGTATGAAATGCCAAATTTATGGCCACTGCAATAGTTGGGGTTTATGTTCGAATTGTAGTGGTGTTTATTATAAATAGAATGGGTTTCCAGTTATATTGCGGTTTTACAATTGCTTGCAGGAAATATTGATATTGTTCTCGCAAACTTTTTTTTCTACTCTCAAATCTGTTGACTGATGATGCCGGCGACATTGAATAGAATGGCTTTGGAAAAAATGAACTTTTTTAATTGCAAATGGATGAATGAGTCTCGTTACTCATACTCTGACCTCATATTTCATTTGTTGAAAATTGCGAATTGAAATCCACTGTTGAGCTTCAACAGCAATGCTTTTTTTAATTTATCGGATTCATGGATGAAAAATCATCGTTACTTTTTCGTTTCTCCTTCAGAAGGAAACGGAAAAAAAGCGAGCTCATTCATCTTTTTATCAAGCTTAAAGCACTTCCTTATCCAAAACATTATTATGAAAATCCAGAAGAGAAAAAAATGTCAAATCATATTAGGTTTATTATTTGAAAACAGTCATTTCTTCTTGCAGTGAATGGAGAGGTTTATATTGTCTGAAATCCATTTAAAATGCATAGGAATTCAAACACCACGTCAAGAAGTAGATATACCAATCTCGCGTGTCGCCTACAGAACTAACGAACAAAAACAGAAATTCAATCTGAATGAAATTTCGAAATGGATAGAAACGTTTTGTTTTCCTAATACTCTGCATCCGCTTCACATTCGGAAGACATTTCGTAAATTTCTCGTTCATGGCATGCAGAAAAGAAAGCAAAAGATTCTCTCTCAAAAGGAAGAGAGCGAGAAAGAGAGAAAGAGAAGCGAAAAAAGAGAAAAAAGGCGAATAAACAAGAAAAAACAGCGAATAATGGATGAGCAAAAAAGTGAATGAATGCGTGAACAAAATAATGGAAATGTGATACAATTGAATGCTTTATGTGTTGGCTTTATTTGTGAATGGCAACATGTACAATTTTATTTAGTAGCAAACTACCGCTTTTTCTATCTATTATTCAGACTGTTGTTGCACGAACCGGAGAAAACTCATTCAGTGCTGAATAATAATTAAATGGAGTTTTTTACGCTTTTGCATCGAACATACACACATAATGTTCCATTTTAATTTATGCAAGTCATTTTCCACCCTTAAAATCTAAATGAGATACGAACATGTTTACGGTCATAATAATGTAATCAAATACAATTAGAGTAGATTTTTTTGCTGAATTTGACATGCTTTTTTGTCAATTTCCACAATGCTTTTTTCTGCAATTATTTTCTGAATAATTTTCCTTTGTACTCGAACTGTGCATATAATGTGGTGTCATCCGATAAACTTCATTAAAAAGCTAAATGAGAATGTGTGTTTGATGCTAGGTTTGATGCACATCGGTGATATATCTGTCAACATTTAATTTCATTTAATGAATTGATGAATTTCCATTTAAAATAATCGATGTTAATTATTATGGTTTGCATATCACATTTAATTGAAAGGCTCTTTAAAGGTATAACTTAATTTGTCTGCGTCAATTTTATGTATTATGTAAAATCAATATCCCAATCAATTTGGTTATTTATCACAAAGACCTGTTTGAAATTCAATGAAAATAATTGAAATGTTGCAGAAAAAAATAAGTGATAAGCTTTTTTCGCACAGAAAATTCGAAATTCGGAGCACGTGTGTGGGTACTATATCAAACTGAATATATTCGCTGGCAACTGAGGTGGTGTATGCAATATTTTATTTCAAAGCTGCAAGCGACAGATGTCTTTTTTTGAATTTTTAATGCATTATGCTAATGTTGTCGCTTCCTTTTTTGCATCGGATTTACATGCATATAATTATATGTCTTCTGTGTACATCAAGTATTTTTACGGGCACTGATGCTGTATGGCTCGTAATGGAATCATTTTCAAATGATTTTGCGTTGCCTTTAATCTTCAATACAACGCCAAAACAAAAGAAATCCGTTTTTTGCTTTTGATTTTGAGATGATCTCAGACTCAATGTCCTCTATTCATAGAGAATTGCACGTAATTTCTGCGTTGAATGAGCAGAAGATGTGTGAGTATTTATTTTTTTTCTCAAATTTATTAAATTTATCTCTAACATGCTTCCAACTGTCTGTCTGATATACGTTCTTATTAATCGGATAAATGCATTAATACGTAGCATATCTATCTATTATTGGATTTGATGGTATATTTCCACATGATGCTTTTTGTGAGAGAAAAGCTTATTCCGTTGAACCAACAAATACTAATTGCAAGTATTCGGTTTGCACTTATGTATGTCTGGTAAACGGTTCGCCTCAATTTTGTGGCAATCACTGCAAATATAATACAAAAGCATTCAATCACTGCTTACTCAAACGTAAAGATCATCTATCGCAAAGTTTACTTATCAAATGTCTATATTCATGTTTTTCTGAAATTGAATCATTCAACATCTGAATCACTCAGGTTAGCGCTCCTCTGCTGATTTAAATATGAATGGAAATATGTAAATTTGTATTCCATTGGCGTTCTCAGATTATATCGACAAAAGAAAATATGCAAATATTTTCCGGTCCATTGCGGTAATCTTCGATTTTCATGAAACCTGATGCGAAAAAAATGACGAACGACTACAATTGGCTTAACGAGTCATTAGTCTTTTTGACGTTACGATTGACTTATTGGTCAGTTTGTGCATCGCCAATGATGATGGTTCATTAAAGATAATATCTACCAATGCGGTATTCTACATAACACGTAATATGACTTACACAAAGACATCAGCAGCACATTTGCTGTTTTCAAAATTTAATTAAAATTAATTAGTGCCTGAAGCAGTATACTAAGTAGTTACAGCTTACAGCAAGCACCTAACGAGCTCCGAATTGCAAATGAAACTGTAAATCGATAGAAATGACGGCGACGTAAGCATTCAAAATGTTTGTGAAAACATAGACAACACTCTGTCTCTCTCAATTGTTGACTCAATTCAACAAAGTAAAATGTCGTCAAAATCGATTTTCAGATGAGTGCTTGCAGCACGATATACACAGCTACGTATGCGAACATTAACTTGTTAAAGATGTCTCTAATGAAATTTTATGGGCGTTTTGTTGGTCTCGAACTATTCATGCAGAAATTATATAGCTGCGATAAGAGCTAAGATTTATATGAATAAAAGTCTTTGTCGCGCGCGCTACATGGTCCGCGCAAGAAGATCGAATGATGACATTCGCATGCATTGCAACTGACACAAAACGCTCGAAAAATGAACAAATCGCTTCTGTCAGCACTAAGAAGACGGGCAGACGGCGACCTGTAAAAAAACTTTCAACTTGAATTATGTTCGTTCAACGAACGAACATTACAAAACTTGTCATACGATGGATCAACATTTGAATGTGTAATTTTTCAAACTCAGCGGACTGATTAAATGGCATACTTAGATTTCGTTTTTTTTTCGTCCCGAAACGGATGACTTGCATAAATGCAAATAGAAAGAGAAATGTTCACCGCTGCGACGAAGACAATTGTGTATGTTTTAAGTTCATGAAGTTTTTGCCAAAATTGAACATGCTCTTCAACAATATGAAAATCGGTTGGTGAGCAGCGATTCGTTTGTAACAAAAAAAGCACACCGAACCGTCATCGGATGTGCTTAGTGTTGATGTGAATCCATAAGTACATGGAACTCGAGTAGCGTTCATGATATAACATTATATTGTCATGTAGACCCATAAAAAAGCAGAGAGAAAAAATGTTTTTTTAGAATCGCATATCATTCATATGCTTGTCACAAGGTATTAGATTCCTTTGCTTGTTCAGCGGATACACGAATTTTTTGGCGAAAATAAAATGCGTTTAAAAATGATACCGATGCATAGATGAACGGGTGTTAGAGCTATCCAAAAGATCCAAAAGTAAGCAAATTTTCAGTTCTATTGAAATGAGAAAATAGACATGTTTTCTGTGCACATTACGTGCTCGTTCATATGCAGTCTTTGGTACATGTTTTCAATTTTCGCCAAATCGATAATAGACGATGTCTGTATCCGTTTTTTTGTGGTAATAAAGATACATACAAGACAAATTCGAATGAATGCCAACCCAATTCAAGTTTATTTCCTCTTTATCATGCTCATTTCAATGTGAACCCACAAAATTACACCATTTACCAAGTTTTCGACCAATATTTGTTTTATCGATACTGCTCACACATACAAAACACTTCGATGCCGGCTACCAAATCCAATGCAAACACCGCAATTTCTCCAATAGCTAATTTAATTTGCTACTTTGATTGATTATATTTTCATGTTTTTACTCTGCCCTTTTTCTCACACACTTTCTCTCTCTATCTCTTCTCAATCTTTCTCTCTGTCACTCACTCTCCATTTTTTTGTTGTTGTTGTCGAGTTTATATTGCCCTATTATTTGCTCTAAGCATAAATTGAACGGTCAGTTGACGTCAATTCTATGGCAATTCGGTTCCGTTAAAACTTTTGGCGCATAAAATGTTGATAATAAATTTGATATATTGGATGATTGCAAAAAAGATCATGTACATAAATTTTCCCGCGTAATTTTCTAGCTAAGTGAAATATATAGTGGATGCTATGCAATGTCTGCACCATATATATATATGTCGACATAATTTATGATCTTCGTGAATTTTATGAATCACAATCGATGATGATTTGTGTTATTATTACTCGGTGATTTGAAAATGATGATGAAACGATTTCAACAGCATTTTACGGCGCTTCAATAAAGTTTTCATGCATTTTTTAGCTTATCAAAAGGCACCAGCAACAAAAAAATTCATTAAATAATCATAAGCCATATTTTAGCTCCGCCCCAACATTACATCGATTAGTATTCGGAGGGAAAATCGAAAGCTGGAAACAATATACGAACTTTTTTTTCGATATAAAATGGATTAAATTCAATAAACATTAGTAGCGCCCTTCATACAATATTCTATATAAACATTATGTAGCTTTAAACGAAGAAAAAAACCTGAAAAAAAAAACAAAAAAATTAGATTTTTTCAATCATCCAGAAAATTGAATTATGGACCAAAATGTAGAGAGTTAGTTTTTTTGGATTAAGTAAAAAGCAAGCGAAAAGTTCTCTAAATTCTTTTACCGCAAACAATATTCTATGCATTTTGAATGCGTGCTATGATTCGGTGTAGTTATACACACATTGCGATCAAAGAATTTAGGGAATTTGACCATTAAATACTGTGAATAAATTTGCACAAAAAAAACATTAACTGGAATTTTGAATTCCATATCGAAACACTGTAATAGTTGTATGTTTTTTAGAAGTAGATGATGTTGTACAAAAAAAAATCTTTCCTTCATATAATCTATTTAGCAAAAAAAATATGTAATATTAGTTTTTCCTTTAAAACTGTTGTATGGTGCTCCAATTACCATTTACATTCTGATTTGGTTTATAAACTTTACTAAAGTGCACATAAATTCTCAACTCATTTACCATAGATATATTTCATTCGGTCAACATTTTGGTGCCAAAAATATGTAGTGTTTCTACATTAGATTCATTCGGAGTGTAGCCAAAAATTTCAAACATTCATTTTTACACGCAAATTTAATCGGCATTCTTCGGTGGAATCTGTTTTTTATTTAGTTCAACGCATTCATTTGGAATCCATTCACTTCGAGCCATTTAAGACTTTGTTGTTTTAACTATAAGATAATAATTAACAAATCAAAAGAAAATTATATTTTGGTTTTTAATGACATAATTTTGTTAATGGAATGAATGATAATAAATTAGTTGAATCAACTATGTGACCAAAAATCAAATAACTTTCTTTTCTTCATCTTCTTTCGTTCTTTCGTTCAAGTTGTTTGCTCAGTTTGTCAGAAAATGAGTTAAAAATCATTGAAAGACACACACTCAAGGGCCTACCGAGAAGAAAAAACTTGTGTATTTCCAAATATAAAGTTTTTGCGAAGATCGACCCAAGGGAATACGAGTGCGGTTGTGTCGTATACATTGCGAAAGAGTGTAACGTAGTCCCGACGGGAGTGTTTTCCTTCACATTTCGCAATATTCAATTTAGTTCAATGCTTGTGTAAATTTATGGTGAATTTGCATCAAAAACTGTTACCATATTTATCAGATTACAATCACCAAATGGAGATAAATTTTCATTTTGCAATGCCGTTAAGCAAACGTATTTTTTACATCAACAAATACACCACGAATGATTTTGTCAGTGCGCATCGCGGTCAAAAACCATTGCTGGATGCTTTTAGTGAGTGCACAACCCACACAAATACCATGCTGAGCTTCTTTTCCCCATGCAACGTTGACAGTGACAGTGACGTTTATGTTTTGTGCAGGGTTCGACTCATGTGAAACTGAGCTTAGTTTATTTTTAGTTCTGTTTACTTTATGAGTTCGATTTTTATTTGAAAACGTTTATTTAGTTTGAATATGAGACCGTTTATTGTGATCAGACAATTTGAGAGTGACGACACGATTGCACGCAAGGATTTAATCAGACAATATGTAATGTCATTTGCTTTCGACGCTTTTACATCTTGCTTATTTAGAGAGGTACCTATATTAACCAATCTGAAATTCCATCGGCAATTAATGAAATGGGTGTGTTGTTACGAATTTTTTGTTAGATCTTTCTGCAATTGGTTGTTCTTGTAGCGGCCGTGATGTTCATTTTCTTCAATTTTCCATTGATCATTTGCGCATCGTCAATACCATTCGTTATCATTTTTATCTACATCTCGGTATATGGAGCCTATTTGACAAAAGCCATCGAGTTATCACATGTGAGTATTTACGACATTTTATATTGTTCAAAACCCCGAATTACTATTGTTTGAATTTAAAGGATCCAATAACGTCGTGCTGGATTGCAGAAGCATATGAACCATATTTGATGTCGTTATCGTTCAATAACGATTCTCTGGAATATGACATTGTTCCTGAAAGTCGTTTACAATCAACTGACTTCGAATTGAATCGCATGAAACGGACACTGATTGGGACAATTTCAATCGAATCACATCGGTCGTTACACGGTGCTGGATGGTTGAGTCATTTTGCAATTTCTTCGAAATTCAATTTTGATAAAGTGGCAGAACCACTCATACATCGCACGCTTAAGCATGCAATCGAACAGCAATTTTATTCAGTGGAAATGGTTACGACGGAATGTCAAAGTCAATTACGTGAAGTTTTGCTAAAAATTGGCTTTGATATGAAACAAATTTATCACCAATACATTCTCGCCAATAATAATCTTAGAATTATGAAATCACAGATGGGCATCGATCTAAACACATGGACAAAATCAAAAAATAAATAAATCTTAGGGCTAATTACACAAATCACACGGATTGTTCCATACAGATAATTGTATTTTGATAGATATTTTTATAGAGACAATTCTAATGATGTTATTTGAAGAATTATGTTAAATATTTGAAGACAATGAATAAATGAATGATATATTTTCACTCCGAAGAGTTACATCTTTTTTTGACATTTGAACACAACTCCAGCCAATCATACTACAACAAAACCTTGGAGCTAGTCATTTTTAGTCAACCATTATTTGCCGACAACAACCAGGACAGCCCTTTGAAGGTAACCGACACCGATGATAAGAAAAAGAACGGTCCATCGTAAATTGTGATTCGAATTCCAATGAAACCGCCGGCAAGAACAAGAAAAACTCCTGAATAGTTAATCATGCCTCCGAATTTATCATCGGTAGAAATGGTAAGTTGGGATTATTTTTTGCATGGCAAAAAATTGGTTTTGTGAAGAAACATGGTTATAAAAAATACTTTTTTTAGATAATATTTCTCCAAACAAGGAATGTGAATGAGCTGCCGGAGCGCAGAGGTTAAAAAAATTTAAATTAAAAATATCATGATTTTTGATATTTTTCACCTTTTAATATTTTGCTCTTCAGATCCCTCTTTCTCACATATTTATATCTATGAGAAACTGTCGCTGCTATTTGAATAGTTTCCAAGTGACCGTTGTTCTTTAAACAAGAAAACAAACCATTTTGAAGAATAATTTTTATGTCAGGTATAACGAAAATAACCGAATGCCATTCAAAGTCAAAGAAAAATGTATAAACCGAAAGTGTTTGTTTTCGTCATTTGAATACGGTCGGTATCTTTTTCTATTTAGCATCAGCGTTTCTGTTGACACCACTACATTGACACAATTCAAAATGTGTAAAAGCAACAAAGCATAGCGTCAAATGTGTATCTGTCTTCCAGTGTGTATACGTGGAGCAACTCAGTAAGGCACACAATACAGCTCAACAAACACATCATTTGCTTTTTACAGTGCGGGCAAATCAGAACAACATTTTTAAAGTAAATCGTCGTAACTCAATTCATAATAAATTAACATTGTGATAAGAAATTTAAAAAAAAAGTTGACAACAAATCGTGCTTCAAAACTGTCACGTCCCATGAATGTGTGTTGTTATAACTTTATGTGAATGTTAAAGACGAGAAGTTCTTTTTAAAATAAGAAACCTTACTACTGTCAGGAATATTCTTGTATTTTTACCATTTAAAAATATAGGACAAACTCATCAGGGTAAGAACTGATAACCACCTTTGTACAAAGACAAAATAGTTCAGTTTAAATCAAAGTTCATACAAAAAAGGAAAAAAAGGAAGAAATTGATGACACATTAATATGTGCAAGAACAATTGAAAGTGAAAAGTGGCTACGTTTGTGTGTGAGAAGAGAGAATGGAAAACGATGGGATGATGGATAAAATTATATGAAAAAAGTGGCATAGAATCAAAATTGAGCTCTTCCTTTTTATATGGTCATGCGCAGATAATACAGATATCCACGTTTTATATGTGCCAAAAACAGGTGTTTAAGAAACAATTCCATACTTCCAACAGCAATGCAGCATTTTTATATGAATAGTTGATTGAATGAAATCAAAGTTCAAAAAAGTCGCATTTTTTCGAAATTTAAAAATTCGGTTCATACCGATGATACCTATATAATACGCGTGACTAAAAAAAATGACAAAAAAAGCATTTAAAAATAGATCATATTATTGTGGGATTGACAAACACCAAACTCACGCATAAATATTGAACGGTTTATCGCTTTAAAAAATATATATATTTATTTTCACAATTTTAACAAGTGAAATAAGGCGTAAATTGGTGATTTTCAATGAGATTACAAAATCAATTCAGTGCAAAATCCGAGTGGAAAATCATAAATAGGCATTTCGATGTCAACTCTTATGACGACTCTAACGACTATCACACCAATGATCTAAAAAAAAACATGAAAATGTATTCGTTTCTGCTGCACACAGTCCGGCATTTGTTTGATTTTATAAAATAAAATAACTAAAGAGAAGCATCAAATGCCGTGGAGATAAGAAGATTCACGTTGAATGATTATCATATAGCATACACTATACAAAAGATTAAATGACACATAATATAGCATAACTATATTTTGGATGTATTGTGACTTTAATCAGGTTCGCCGAATTATTCAATAAAAAAACGAGCTATGTTGTATGAATTTCAAATTTCAATAGACACACGCGCTTGTGTGTTGCGACGTTCTGTTGCTAATTCAAACAAACAAGAAGATGAAGAACATAACAAAAATATCATCTCAAATAGGAGCCACTGTCACTGAGCTATTTTATTTGTGTTAAATAGTAAATGATTTGTTTTTCGTTCTAGTTGAAAATGCGTCTCATTAGTTTGTAGTTCAATTTATGAATTAAACTCGAGGCAAAAACGTGCCTATCTAACTATTCGACATCAAAGGCATCAAAATTGATAACAAGTGATGAAGATATGCTCTCTGTCACATACGTGAATTGTGATAAAGTCCGACTGGACGGCATTCAAAATATAAAGTGATAAATAAGGTCGCTGTCAAATTGATTTTATTGAACATTTGTTTCCTGCGTTCAAAATCCAAGTAATCAGTGAATTACAGGGGGTCGAAAATCAGCCATTATCGCACCGGTTCAAGTTTGTCAATAAGTGTGATAAGAGAAAGTCAATAAAAACAACTGAAAAAGAATCTAAACACATTTGTAATTCCTGTTTTTCGGTTAATACGACTATTTATTCAAATTGAATAAATGTTTGCATTTCAATGCGCTACGATTTACATATTGCATTGCAAATAGAAACTTTACTAGAGTATATATAGAGCTATTGTTTTTGTTACCATTCGATGTGAAACCTATTTAACATTTTACTTTTTTTGTGGTATTTTTAGGTCAAAACAATCCAATACGATTAAGTAACGAAGCAGACCAAAAACTAAATTAAACAAACATGAGCTTACCAAGTGGCGTTGATTTAACCAAACCAAAATTCGATCAAAGCACATATGTGAATCGTGCAAAGCATTTCTTTCTACTGACAAACCCATTGAATTTATTGGCGAGCGAAAAGGATTTAGATGATGCGAAACGTGTCATTTCGGAGTACAAAGCTGGAAAAACGGAGATTGAAGGATGCAAAAGTGTGGACGATTTATGGCGTGCCAAGTATTTGTACGATTCTGCCTTTCATCCTGACACCGGAGAGAAAATGATTATGGTTGGCCGTATGTCGGCACAAGTGCCAATGAACACCGCCATCACTGGAGGTATATTAATTTATTTCTTTTTTTTCGCGAAATATTCTTTTTCTTCCGAGTGTCCGCATTAATTCCATAAAATTTTTCAAAAAAAAAGCGTCATTTACAAGAAAAGTACCCGAACCTAAACGGTGTCTATAACAGATCTGCCACTAAAAATGACTTTTTTTCACAAAATATTTTCAGCTATGCTTACATTTTACAAGTCAACACCAGCCGTCATCTTCTGGCAGTGGCTCAATCAGTCTTTTAACGCGCTTGTAAATTTTACAAATCGATCTGGTTCTTCTCCTATTGATACAAAGTGAGTGGATTGGTTTGTTTTTAATTCAACGGATTTAAATGATTTTCTTCATTACAGCCAACTTCTGACGTCATACGTAATGGCAACTGGTGGCGCTCTTACTACTGCTCTATCATTAAATCGACTAACAAAGAAAATGAATCCATTAGTCGGACGTTTGGTGCCCGTGGTCGCTGTTGCAGCTGCCAATTGCATTAACATTCCAATGATGAGAATTCAGTAAGATTTCTTTTTATTTTAGAAAACAATAATCTGATTTGACGAATTTTATCGTTTTTTATTTTACAAATTTACGCTTATATTTTCAGAGAATTGAAGAATGGAATTTCTCTGGTTGATGACCAATATAGAAGTTTGAATATTGCCTCAAAGACAGCTGCCTACCAAGGAATTAGCGCTGTAATTGTAAGCCGTATTTTAATGGCTATGCCTGGAATGGGTTCGTACAATTCAATATTTTTTGTTAAACTGCCCACAAGTAAAACGATGACCAATGAATGAATTGTTTTTTTTTCCACAGTAATAACACCAGTAGTTGTTCAACAATTGGCGAACAAAGGTGTCTTCCAAAAGTATCCAAAGGCAAATGCGCCTGTTCAAATGGCATTAGTGGGTTTTATTTTGATCTTTGCCACTCCATTGGGATGTGCTTTCTTTAGCCAAATGGCTAGCATTAAGGTAATAACAATTCTTCCGTTAATGAAATAATTCTTATGAAAAACTGAGTTTCTAATACCGTCTAAAAATGTTTATATTTCAAGGTTGACGATCTGGAGCCTGACGTAAAGGCTGTGGTGAAAAAGCAAAAACCAGACCTTGAAGTGGCCTGGTACAATAAGGGCTTGTAAACATTTCAGAAGTATATTCTGAATCATGTACTGAAAATGTACGATATTTTAATAATGACGCGACTATAAATATTATTATATCCAAAGTCAAGTGATAAATGAAAGCATTTCAATGGCCATAATATGACAGTAAATCACGACAAAATAGTCTTATTTAGTTTTCCAATAATTTATTGCAGAATATGTTGTTGATTTGTGTGAAACAAGTTAAAAACAAAATGAACAAATCAAAAACAAAAATTATAACTCTGACCTGGACTCTATTTTTCATGCAATGCAGCATAAATAAAGAAGCATCAAATGTGTCTTGTTAATAAAAACGACTTCGTTTTATTCTTTCTTTTTGGTCTTCTTATTTATTCTAATAAAAAATGAGTAGTTTACAAAAGGCTTTGCATTTCATGCATAAATTGCATGTAGGCGTCGTCTTTTGTAGTTCCCTTATTTGCAGCGGCTTCAGCTTGCTGTTGTCGACTATATTCACTAACGAATGCCTTGGGCTTTTGAATCTTTTTATCTTCACGTTTCACCCGCAGCGCCGATGGAACGAACCGCGTGACGTCCGCACTGAGATTTCGAATTTGTGGTTTTGCAGTAATAGTCGTCATGCCTTTGGTGTCCTTTGGCGGTTGTTGCATCATATTCTGCATTAAAAAAGAAATGAACAAGAAAATTAAAGTCAAAACATATAGTAACTAATGAGAATCCTAATTTGAATACGCTTTTGAACAGTTAACAAATGAAAACGTACCGGTTGTTGTTGTGGTGGTGGCTGTTGTTGTTGTTGTGGATGCTGTGGACCAAATTTATTATGATGTGGATGCATTAATCTATTTGGTGGAGCCCCAGGTGGAGGTCCCGGTGGCATTCGGAAGCGTGTCATCATATTTGGACCAGCTGAAAAAACAAAAACAAAATATTGATTATTGATATGATTGGTAAGAGATTAGAGCAATTCGGTGTCTTACCAGGTGGCATACGCATTCCAAGCGATTGTAATCCAGGACGCATCGGAGGCGGTCGAAACATCATTTGAGGCATACCCATTGGTGGTGGTGGAGGTCTTGGCATTTTATGTAGCATTGGTGGAGGCATTGCTGGTGGTGCTGGTACGGCTGATAGATTTGGAATAGCGGCTGGATTATCTTTTCTCTCTGTATTACTTTCATCATCTGGTTTTCTCTCCGGTTTACTTGCATTCGATTCACTCGCGTTTCTCGATTGTCGATCATCCGATTGACTATTCACATTTTCTAGTTCTTTCATAAAATCGTCGTACTTCTGATTCTGACCGGCCATTGCTAACATACGTTGTTGAATGTTTGTTGTTGGTTTCGGTACATCAACATCATTTTCACTTTCACTATCTTGATCATCCGATCGGCTTGAGCTTCGCTCCGACGAATAACGTTTGTATCTCTTGGACACTGGCGATCTTCGCCCTCGATCACTGTCATCACTCTCATATTCCGAATCTAAATCGCGCATTAAAAGTAAATCAGGCGGTGGACCGGAAGGACATCCTGGTGGATCTTTTCGCTTTTTTTCACTTGCTGCTTTTTTCTCTTCGGCCACAGCTTTTTGATGCGCAGCAATGGCATTTTGTATACTCGGCGGAATAGGCACACCACCGGGCGGTATTTGTGGATTGAATGTTGGTGGCATCGGCACCGATCCAAATGGAGCCTGTGGCTGTGTTGTTGCTGGTGCCGGTGACTTTTCACACATATCTGGCAAGGGAATATCTTCGATTTGAACCGTTTGTGCCGTTCGAACACTCTCAAAATACTGCACTCGCTTATTACGACGACGCTCATATTCCACCTCTTTACGCTTAAGCTCCGACCAAAGTTCTGGATCATCATTATGCTAATGGTAAAACAACAAATATATTTAACTTCTATTTCATAAGTTTTGTTAACAAAGTAAAACTTACATATAATCTCATAACCCGGTCGAATGTTTCCTTCAACTTTTTTCGCTTCTCACGCAATACTTTTTCATTAAGGGGCGATGGCTGTAACACATTGTATTCTGAAATGTAAAAAAAAGAATCGAATGTTTAATTCAACCGGTTATTGTGTATGAATAATAATTAGATTTACTAACCCATTTCATCGATTTTTTCCATCTCCTCAATCAATTGTGCTGGATCTTTTCCTTTAAGCACTGCCGCTCTAACCATTTGACGTTGTTTTTTATTCTTTTTCAGTTCTTTTTTGCGGGCCTCTTTTCGGGCCTGATCCGTTGGATTCATATATTTACCACTCTTAGTGGTATTTATTGAACGGCGACCCATTTTGAAACGATTTCAAACGACCGTCCTTTTAAAATGAAAATTTTTCCTTTGGGAAACAAGTACCAATATTTCTCTGATGTACACAGCTAGAATCGCTATCTGTCACTGTTCATGGTACAGATAAAATGTCATGTTTGATACGTTGTGAATGGGTTTTCGATAGGGATGCACATTAACTGTGTGCTCATTAACAAAATGCTTTATAAACATACCGGCGGCGGCTTAGATTTAGATTATATTGTCATGGAAATTAAGCAGTTTTTCGGTATTTCAACTCATAATTTGGCCACATTGCATATGAAACATTGCCTAAACTTGTTAAAATCTGGTTAATAACTAATTTTGATTGTTTTATTGGAGATTCATGTCAAAGGTCTATTGTTGTACAAGTACCGCCATCTATGTGTTGGTTATTGTACTGAGCGAGTTATTCAATAGTTTTTTTCTGTTTTGTTTGAAGAAGTAATTAAACATGCTTAAACATTTTTTTCCTTTATTTTTTTTTTTTCGAAAAATTCTCGCCACTTTTTAATTAGAGTATATAGTTTGATATGGTTCGTAGACATGTAATTTGTGTTGTTATTCCAATTCGGTTTTCCAATTGATTTTTCCCGAGTTGAGTTCTAAATATTTAAATTACATCATATCATTGGAATAATTTATTGATTAATCATGTGAATAAATTGTGGACGTCTAATTATAGACAAGATTACAATTTGTTTACTCTGTTTCGTGCATTACGTAAACATCATGTAAATATTACTATCAAAAATAAACAATGTTTTGATTGTACGGTATCGAATGATATGAAGTTGTATATATCGGAATGTCAGAAAGGTCTTTTTGTATTGCCATCTATTGACACTACCAATACTGTTGCAATCCAAGGTCTACGGCATAAATATTGCACAAAAGAAATAAAAGGCCTATTTTCAGATGACGAAAATATAAACATGAAAATGGCTGCATAATAAATAATAATAGACAGCAGAACCTTGAGAATGGACACAATTTAATATCAAAATAAAATCCAAAGTTAATTCCTCCAAAGGAAAGTGGTTTATCATAAGTTGTACAATCGATTAATCTAAATTTACGTGAATAAAACCGAGTCAAATGGAAAAATTGCGTTTGGTTGAAGTTTTGTAGTTTGTGCAAGAGTGCAAAAAGTTGACTGGGACGACTGAGTTTGTTCGCAAACAAAGAGTGTCGAATAACTTGTTACGATAAAACAGTGTATGATCTCAAAGTAAGTTTGCGAATAAAAAAAAAAGTGCATAGAAGACAATTGGAAATTGCCAAAAAGACAAATTAGACTGAAGTACCGAATAATAAGTGTAATGTGTTTACGGCTAAAATCGAAAGATTGTATACATCTCACGGTGAAAAAAGGAATTTCAGTACATCCAACCACAATGTTTAGAATATCTGTGTTTAATCCAACGGGCTGTATTGCCTCAAATGCCCCATGCCTTTGCTGCGGCAAATAAATTGAGTACATCATCTCATTGAAGAATAAGACAAACCAAAATAAAAATATACTATATTAGTATTTCGAATTGTATTGAGTCCGAGAAAAATACAATCGATAAAGTAGCTAGTCTGAAAGTCAATCAGAAAAAAGAAGAGAAAAAAAAAAGCGATAACGATTGCTAGCAAAGCATAAACGGTAACCGAGTAAAAACAAAAATATAAACTGATTTGATACAAAATCGAGCGTTAAGAGAAAAGGGAACGCATAGAGCTATTGCGCATTTGACAACAAAGATTTTTTGCTAAAAATACCGCGATTGGACCCATTCTAGTGAATATCTAAAAATACGAATCAGCCTGTGCGAATAATATATGGTGAGCGAAAAATCGCGCAAACAAAACAAAACCTTGGAATCAGCTACATAAACATAAACAAAGAGGAAAATTAAGGAGGAAACATTTTGCGCACAACAATCCTCAAAATCTCAATAAAAATGAAGTTGTTGGAAAATTCAAAATTTGAAGCCATCAACAATGCATTGTCAATTAAGACGGGAGATAGTGCGGTTATTGGACGCATTGAAAGTTATTCATGCAAAATGGCTGGCACAGACAAAGCGCTGTACAAACGATTCACCAGCGAAACCAATGCAAATGACTTACAGGCACTATCGCCGCCGGTTGGATTTATGGATATGTCACCGAACATTGGACGCGGTAGTAATTCCGGTGATGAAAATACCGTCCTATGCGACACCATATCGCGCAAATCTCTATTTTATCTAATTGGAACGCTCAATGCGGCATTCGAACCAGACTATGATTTTTCCGATGCAAAGGTACATTCATTTAAAAAAAAAATGTAGTCATGACATCGACTTTTCCATTCAATTAAATGTTTAGCATTTTCTAAACACGTTCTCCAATTTCCATTGAATAAAAATGCAATTGTTTATTTGTTTTTCTTCACTAATTTTAGAGTCATGAATTCAGCAAGGAGCCGTCGATACAATGGGTTATGAACTCGGTGCATTCAAATTTATCGGCCATTGCTGGCGAACAATTCTCTGCATTGCGGCAAGCACTCTGGACCGCAATCAACGACGAAATCAATTTGAACGAGTGTGATATTTACAGCTATAATCCGGATTTTAATTCGGATCCGTATGGTGAACCGGGCTGCCTATGGTCGTTCAACTACTTTTTTTACAACAAGAAACTCAAACGTATCGTATTTTTTACATGCAGAGCAATTAAGTAAGTGCACACTTTTGAAATATACTGAATTTTCGTAATGCTAATGCGATGAATTTCAACGGTTCAGTTCAGTTCAAATGGACGCTTCAGACTCATCAGTAATTGGCCTTGAATTCGCAATGGAAGAAGGTGGAATGATTTAAACAGCAAACTCATTCTTTTACTGAAAAAGTTGGTACGTGACTTGCATTCGATTCGCATTTTTTTCTGCTTTTCTGTTTATTCAATCTTATTCAATCATTTTATTTCAATTTTAGAATTTCGCAAAAGATCTTCATACACTGTGTATGATACACACAGCAGCAGCAACAACAACAACCAATTTTGCTGGATTTTTACACTCATACATATTCTTACATTTTAATCCACGATTCATTGAATATTATTAAACATGGATAAACATAATAATAAGGAGCTGTCATCGTTGCGAGCTCGATAGTTTCACCGCCCGGCGATCTGTTTTGGGACACGGTTGACACATCACGTACAACCGATTTCAACGAATCAATTACTATGAATGCAGCAGAGCTGGTGCAATTGTTTTGTGAAACTATCGAGCTCGCAATATTAAAAACTAGTTTATGGATGAATTACACTTTGAATGTATAAGTGATATGGTAAACAAACTAACAAAACACAACAAAAAACAACACACTTAAATGTAGTGATAGTGCTTTCTTGAAATGCATTCAAAAAATATTCAAAATTCGAATTTATGTTTGGATAGACGCCAGTTAAATTTATTAGAGGTGCGGTAGCTTCGATAGGTTTTCAGACATCGTACATCAAATTCAAAAAAAAAAAAAAAAAAATTGAAACACACATATAAACATATGCAAAAAAATTTAAATATGAATTATATAATCATCATTGATCGTACTTATAAGATATTTTATTCATTCATTCTTTTTTATTGTTTAGACAAAGACGAATAAAAACTGATAAACTTTTCACTTTAATTTGAACTTTATTTATGAGTTTTCAAATATATCGTTCGATAGTACCAGACCGGTTCGATACATTATGTGTAAAATATAAAAAAATGTCTGAAAAAAGTTTTATGAGAACTTTTGGAGACTCTTCAATGAAATTGACGTATTTTATGTGAGAAGTGGTCTGAGTACAGGTGTTAACACTGCAAGAGACCATGTAAGCCGAAGGAGTTTGCGAACTAATGTCAATGACAATAATTGCATTTCGGATGACATCGAAACCCATCAACACCACTGAAAAAAAAGTATGGTTTAAAATAAAGCACTCATTGTTCATTATTAAATATTGTTTACCATTTACATCCACCTGATGTATCACCCTTTCCACCTTAAAAAAATGAAGAATTTGATTGAAAATAAGAACATTTATCGAGTGTAATTTATTTTAAATAACTAACCCGGTCCCCATCGATACGACCGAGTGATCCAACATATTTCCGTTTTGCACATCGAACATTTTAGCCAATCGCAACCCCATTTTTTCATCAAAACAATCTGAAAGCGAATATTCCCATTAAAATCTCTTTTGAAAATTCCTGCCTTATATCGGTATGTCGGCGTATCGTTTACCTTACAAGCTGGACAATTCATTGCTTCCCCCTTCTCAATCATTTCCTGTAGCATTGCGTGCGTTGTGGCATTCTCCGGATTGCTTTCCACATTATTTTCCATCATATTTTGGTATTGCTTACAATCGAGACCGTCATGAATAACCCTACAGGTCAGGCAATTCTCCAATCGACATATCGGACACTTGAATGCATTAACATCGTCTTCATAAATGCACCATCCTTTACAGTCCGGTGTTTTGCAATGGAACGAATTTTCAATTTGATTTTCCGCAATTCGCAGAGACTTTGCCAAATGCTCATCGTATTCGCTTTTCGAGAGCAGAGCTTTGATTTCACGATCTTGTAACAAGCAATCGCATGAATACTGATTATCGATGAATGGGCATTTAACTTCGGCATCGTCGCTATAAATAATTGTATTACGTATGCAGTCTTTGCAAAATGTATGCAGGCAATTCCTTAAAATAACACCTTCAAACGGCTCATAATCAACGAAACAAACCGGGCATTCAAATACGCTTGTATTTGTTGTCAAATCCATTGAATCGTCCAACGATAAAAGTTCAATGTACTGAGTGATTGGTTCGCTTTTTTTCGTAATTTCTATCATTGAGTCAAGTTCCTTATCAGCAACACTTTTTAAACTGGACGGTTTGGTATGCGTGATTGGTATTTTCACTGGTTTTGCTGGTTTTTCATTTAATATTTTTTGTATATCTGGATTGACGCGCGGATTATAATTATACACACCACGATATTTAACTTTGTTCCCATTCTGTGGTAGTGCATCCTGCGGTGGAAGTCTTTCTATCAAATATCTATTCAACGTAACATGCTCTATCAAAAATTTCTCCCCATTTTTTCCAGCATTCACGTCAAGTTGTGTATTCGTTCCATTTTTATCCTTTTCTTTATTCACTTTTTCAACTCTTTTTTCATCCGGCTTGACATTTTTCATTTCATTTTTTAATAGTTCCGAATCTTCAGTTTGTACAATGACCGACTTTCCTTCAGTTTTTGCATGTGCTTGAACTGAATAAAAAAATAAATAATTGCATTTCATACATTTCTGATTTTGACACATTTAATAAGTTAAAACAAAAATTGGCACCCACCAACGACATTTTCTGTATTTATGTACAGAGAAGATTGATTCGTGACACCGTACTGGGCTAGCTTTTGTTCGCCATTTTTCAACAGTAAACCGTTGAAGTAAATTTTTGGATTTTTACACGCCATCAATTTATCGAAAATGTAAGTTTTGAATTCATCCAGAGTCATATCGTGTTTTATCTTCACTTCAATTGCATTGTTGAAATTGATGTATAAGTTAAGCCTAGAAAAAAAATTGGCAAAAAAAAAAGAAAAAAATCATTTGTGTAAAGCATGTGGGCAAAACGTGCAAGCCACTTACAAAATATTATTGTCAATGCCAGTTTTAAATGAATTTTTCGTTGCAGTTATGTGACTTTTGCGTTTTTCGTTTGTATCGTGCTTCAAGTGTTTCCGTGTATTCGCAAGGGACACTTCATCACAGTAAGTTTGAATATTTTCAACAAGTTCCTTACATTTGGCCATGCTATCAGTGTTCTCGATTTTTCTAATTGGTTTTGCTTCGTTGGCATTTGTCTTGAAATCATTTGCCATTGTCGAACATTCACCGGATACATGTTTACGGACGGACGGAAGATTATAGTCTTTTTGGTTGTCATATTTCAATAAGCCATTTCGTCGAATCGTTGGCTTATTTATTGTGGCGATTTTAGTGGCGGCTGTATCATTTTTCACATTATTATCATTATCATCATCATCATCTGTTCGGTGCTCGATGATTTTTTCTGGGAATTTTTTCTGTGCCAATGCCCGATTATTCATCGCTCGAATAACGGCACGAATACGTTCTTTTTCTATTTCCAAAGCTTCGGGTGATATATTTTGATCGCCATACTTAAATAAACACAAGCTATTCCGTTTGTTTGGCAATTGTTTTGATGACGATGCACTTTTTATGTCCACATTCATTGAATTTCGGTTAAGTATTTTATCGCCATCATTATTTGGTTTGATTATTTTCGGTCGCAACATGACCGAGCTCATCAAATTTTTTCCATTCATTCGAACCGAATCATTATCAACATTCGTTGCAAATGACATTTGTATATTCGAAATTGTCGGCGTATTATACGGTTTTATACGTTCACATGCATCACAAACAATCTTCCAGAATGGATTTTGCAATGTACAATAGTTACATATCCAAATTTGATATTCATTTCGTTGTTGTCGCGCAAAAAGCTCATTGTTGAATATATCATGCCGTCTATTTGAATCCATATTCACATTGACCTCATTCGTTTCTTTTGTTGGGCATTGAAGTTGATTTCGGATGTTGTTCGGCTCAAAAATATTCAGATTAATAGCTTTTACAGCAGTTTTGTCACCGACTTTTCTCTTTGATATGGCAGATAAATTATTCATTTCGATGCCAGTTGCATGGTTCTTCTTATTTACGATTAACGTACTGTGGTTGCCTGCAGATGGTGGCAATGGTGCTGGTTTTTTTCGTTTTTGATGAGTTGTAGAAAAACATGTCATAGTTTCGGGCGTTTTGCCAGCATTCTCATTTGGAAATTTATTTTCACTTTGATTTATGCTCGATTGTACATTAGAAGTTGATGCTTCAAGTTTACCAAGTGGTATCAACATTGATGACGATGACGGCGGCGGCGACGGCGGTGGTAGCGTTTGCTGAGGTGGTGGTGGGGCTTTTCTCTTCCCTTTAACATGTGCTTTTATCGGCATTTTCACTGAGATCACTCCGAATACTTCACTTAATTAATTTCTTGTGTGTGTAACCGTCTCTTTTTCGACATAAATCTGATTTTATTACAGCCAATTCGTCATGTGTGTTATTCATGGATAAGGAAATTTGGCATCACACATCATTTTACCGAATAAAAACAATAAATTCACTTAAATCAAACTGAAAATCCGTACCGAAATGCAATCGAAATTGCGATAGAACGAGGAAGCACAAAAAAGAAATTTGTAATTAAGTTTCATTACCGAACTGATCGCACACTAAATGAAGTCACACATTTAAATTAATTTACAGCAGCGAATGAGCAGAGAAAATGACGCATATCCCAATGAAATTTTGTATTGACGCGACTTTACTTACACAGAGCAGTGAATGCTAAAAATATACCATTTCCAAGCATACAAAATGCCAAGTGAACATGTATCGAGACACAAATATACTCAACATCAACGACACATTATGTATTCGGTTTTTGACGCTCGAACGCGATCGTTCAATATAAATCGGGATGTGTATACGGCATCAACGAAATTTTATTTGAATTTTAAGTGATTCGGTCGCTATGTGTGTGCCGAATCGCAATCAACTGCAATAGTTTCTAAACGAATAATATTGTAATAAAAAAGCAACATTTGCATCAATTGCCATGATCGTTTTTGATTTCATCGCACTCGAATCGATCGCATGTCGTTTTTTTTTTTGTTCAAGAACTCGTGGCTAGGAACGTAGCTTTATTACGCTCTCGGACGAAATTGATTTTTATCGCCCTTTGCTCGCAGATCACATATAATAGAACATTTTGGTTGGGTTAATTGTTCTAAATTATTAAAGTTCGAAAGAAATGGCCCGACTTGATCGAAAAATCGTGTTCCGTCGAACCAAAGCCATTATCGATTAGCATAAATTCGGAAAAACAGTAGTAAGAAAACAACGAAAAATTTGTAGCGATTTTCAGACAATCATTGAACTCTCGAATATTCGAATGTTTGAATTGATTTCAACGATAAATAATTAATAACTACAAAACCATCCATCACGTGCAACCAAAAGTAATTTACTTGATTCGTATTCCAATCATTGTAATTAAATATTCGGAAAACTAGAACCGTAAATCACACACTTACATGCACATCATTTATGTTTTACGGTCGCTATAATGTGTGTCATTACATCGTGGTGCGCTTCAATCGATAACGAAAACCGTACGTATGTCGTTGACAATATGAATCGAAGGCTCCATTCCAGCCATGCGATTCCAAGTGATACTTCAATTTTACTCCCAGCAATATACAATTATTAAGTCTCAAATGAAACAAAGTCTGTTTACTGTCTATCTACTATGTTGTCATTGTTCGATATGCTCTCCAAGTGGCACGGTTATCAATTAGATGACGAGCGAGAAATCATATTGAATCTCTCGTGCGTGCTTTATTGTACAAAAATGTTTCGTGTACACATCTACATGAAACAGCTGAACGAGTCATACGGATGCCGAATACAATTGCCATTGAGAGGGACGTGTGCGAACATTTTTTTTATTATTTTATATGGTATTATATTTGTTCTGGTTTCTTGTGCTTTTGCGTAGCGAAAAAGATATTTTTGATTTTGACAATGCACAACATTTTTCGGAAGCGAACATCGAACGGATGAACGATATAAAAGAATCCATTAAAAGTAGATAAGCTCTAAAACAGCTGATTGATTTCTGGTTCAAGTGCAAGTTTGAACCCTTCTCCGTTCATCTCATTTTCTATTTGTTTTCTTAATTTAAGTTTTACCATTCTTCGTATTTTCTCCATTCAGTGTGTTGAGCCCTTGAAGTTTTGAGCACACTTTTGAAGTGCTCACACAGTCATTTTCATATATATATATGAGTAAGTGTGCCTCGGGCGACTAGCTTTGTGTATTTGAAAAGTATTCTTTGCTCTTCGCTTTTATATATCTTTTGCAATTAAGTGATGACCTTTGTCGTTGATGCTCACATCGCTTTTGAATTGGCTCGAAATGTCTGTTGAGTGTCGTACAACAGTCTCTCTTACTTTGGCTATTTTGTTGGTTCTCGGTTGCTGTAAATTGTTTTGATTCGATAGAGGAAAGAATGAAATGATAGACAATTGCTCTGGCGCACCCAGTCTCAATTCAACAGCAGCATTCAATGCAATGCATTGTGCATTTGCTTACTATATTGGAATTGAATACACTCGAATTTCCAATTTAAAAAAAATAGAATTTAAAATGGTACTGCATGTGAATTTGGAGCGCACAACGCAAAAAATGGTCCCAAACAACATTAACTGACTGAAGCATGCTTATACATACGCACGAATTCTCTTGCTTATTTTCTCTCTATCTCTCAGTTAGTGTCTTGCTCTCTTTCTGTCTTGCCCCAAGTGTGTGCCACTACTTGGCAATATCCGTTAAGATATTTTGTTATAGAAAGCGGTCTGTGTAAGTCCACCCACACCAATGGAGAATTGAAACTTCTTCTTCTTACTTCAGTTGTATAGGGTCATACGACATGCGCGCTACTTCTTTATTCCACACAATTCAAAAGCCAAATGTATGTAGCAATCGTTTACTGCTGGCGTTGACAATAATAAACTATGAATAGCTCAACAATGTATAGTTTGTGCCATTATATCAATTAATATTGAAGTTGATATAGAGAGCATTGTCATTCAATACAAGTTTTACAAACTTCATTCCAACATAAACACGAACACACGAGGTGGGAAATGACTTTTTAAATGGGATGTGAGAAAAATGCTTTTTTCTCACTTTTGCTAAACGAACCAGCACATCGAGAGCGGGAGAGAGAGCGAGAGAGGCAAACGGAATTTTTTCCCATTTTGGACCGAATTAATTGAATTTTGTATCAACAGTTCGTTATCGGTATGCGAGTGTTATGGTATTATTAACGGTCAAACTTTGGTATATGGTTTGTTTGCCGAAATTTATATAGTTACATTGTCGATTCCATTCCGGTAACAATTCATAATCATCCAAATCGACTTTGGTTGCCATAGCCAATATTTTTCGGTTGCCTTTCTTTTCATTACAAAATAATAATAATGTGTATACAAAATCACAGATTCATCATTGTCACACACACACACACAAACCATTTGAATCCAGCATCGCAACAATTACAATCGAATGGCATCGAAAATGGATGAATCCGCGAATTGGATTGCACGCTCTAAATACTTTTGAGTGCACGATTCTATCAAAATTAATATTCCCAGCGATAGCACAAAAGTTCAGCAGAGCATAAGCACTTCTCAATGCTACAGAGAGATTCAGATTAAAATTAGACATCCAATCGCAATTTTCCAATCACATCATCAACAATCGGCGCGTTGTGAAACACCGCCGATGGAAACAATGGTCTAAATGGTATTTGCACCACAAAAATGGACCACATTTTTTATATGGCTCTAAATCAACCCCCATCATCATATTAGAGATGTAAAAGCGGGTGAGCGAACGACCGAACAAAAAGAATTGCAGGGGAGCGAGTGGGAGAGAGAGAAAGCAAGTGAATTTATGTGTGTGTGTGTGTGTGTGTGTGTGTGTGTGTGGGAGTGAGAGCACGGCCTGTGATGTCGATGATATGAAAAAGTGTAAACGGCAGGAGCATAAAGGAATGCGTGCTGTATTTATATCCCATGAAAGTGATTCTGTGTTCTATTTCAATAGGTATTCCAATTTGTTTGCATGCTATAAAAATCCATCGGTGCGTTAGTCGATGTGACGTGAAGAGATTGTGTTGTGCTGTTAATAAATTTTATTTTATTTTTTTCATTATTTGAAAGTGTGTGGAACTTGGCTTTCGCCTCATTTTGAGCTGCTGTTTCCGTTATAGCTTTTCATGTAACATCAGCTCGAAACGTTTGTTCTTTTTTATTCTTCTATTCAACCAATGAGCCAGCCATCCATCCATCTCTCCATATGAATCTTTTTCTCTCTCTCTCTCTCTCTCTCTCTCTCTCTCTCTCTCTCTCTCTCTCACCGTGTGTGTTTGCTTGCGTTAATATATTCTCTTTTGATATATAAATTTTTTCTCTCTTTCTCTTGTTTTTGCTTGTCGTTTTTTCGCCTCTCTGTGACGATTAAATCGTGCAGCATATTCTTCAATTTGCACATTAAATACCTAACCATTTCTCCAGCTTCAGCTTCAAGCTCGAGTTTATATCATCCATATTGGAATACGGTTGGTGTTTGTTGTGTGTTATTTTTTTTCTTCTATTTCTTCTCTCGTTCACTTGTGGTGCGTATTTCGTTCGCTCACCGAAACGAAAAACGGGAAAATTCAGTTATCGAAGAGCCTTTGTGAGTGTTTGACGTGCGTGCGTAGTTGGTCTCTCTCATCGGCGGTGCTTTCCTTGTTACTTTTTTCTTGCGTTTTTTATGTATATGTCTCTTCTTTTATGCTGTTTATTCAAAACTTTACAAAGAGCATAATTGAAGCGAGGCTGAAAAGACTGTTTTGTCGTCAGTACAATTGTGTGTTTCGGTGTGAATAATTAAGTGAGAATTTGCCTTAAACACAGAAAACGAAACATTGATAAAAAAAGCAAACAGTGCAGTTTTGTGTCTCATTCTCTATCGAATTCACTCTGTGTGTGTATATTACGTTTTTTTTTCTCTTTCGTTTCGTTATTTGTTCTTGTGCGTTTGAGTTTGTCATTTCAATTCACTGCGGAGGAAAGTTTATTATTTGTGATTTTGATTGTGTTTGAGTGTATTTGTGGGATTGGTATTTTGAATTTTGCGGAAAATATTTACATCAAACATGATGATACATAGATATGAATAATATTTATTATTGTTATATTGTGTATTGAGGCGCTGAGAAATGTGATCTATCTTCGGTATTTTTCTGACACATAGTGAGAGAAGAGGTTTCTTTTGCAGTGAAACAACATTCGTTGTTTGGTATTTATTGTTGTTGTAGTTGTTGTTGGTACCGTTTGTTGCCGTCATCGTTCTCATCATCAGTCATTTGCATTCACCCCGAGAGTGCCCAGACAAAGGAGGCCGATTGGTGTGCGTGCGCGCACAAGTGACACAAAACGGCGTGTACTACAGTGGGATACTATATATATAATTTTCGATAAACACAGCAACACAAGATATTTCTGATTACACAACAAATTTCAGTGTTATTGATGCGTTTGTTTTGTGTTATGAACAAACAAATTACTTTTATGTCGCTCGCTCTCTCTCGCCCTCTCTTTCTGTCTATGAATATTTAAATTGAAATCTAATTTCCTTGCAAACAATTATGCTACTGTGTCGCATCACAGTTGTGAAAGTTATCCGAACTTAACTTAAATGCGGTAAATATAATTATGCTTGTTAAATTCTTTTACTTTCTCCCTATCTCACTCACTTCTCTTTGGCTCTCTCTGTCTCCAGAAGTGTTATGTTTTCATTTGCTCTACACATGTTAATTGACTATTAATAGGGATGTTTGTACTTGTTTTAACGATGTAAATCATCTAGAATACGCGCGCTCTCGCTCTCTCTCTCGCTCGCTCGCAAAATCTAACGATCTTTGAATTGGTTCGAATGGGAACTTTTTCGCCACAATTTTACAACGTCGTTGTCATCTTCATCGTCGTTGGACATTATCATGATATAATAACAATAAAAAGGCAAAACTTAATGAGTGGAAATTATATTATTCTTGGGCATCGACTTTGAGACACACACAGGGGGAGCTTCGGCCTCAACGAGAAAAAAAAATGTTTTCGACGATTCGTATCACTTAAATTCTATAGCTCAATTCACATTGATGATTGATATATCACGATTTGTTAAGTAATGGCATATCAGTTCATGATTCACAGCTCCAGTGACTTTCAAAAGACTGGTTTCTTCTTTTAGTGGCATTGTATAAATAGATACATTTTCCATTCGATGTTAAATTTCTCGACGTTTTTTTTTTTTCACGGGTGCGTTTTTTTTCGTTATGATGACACTTATACATTCGAAAAAATCAATGCGGAGTGTGGGAGAGTGAAATAAATATTGATTTTCGTGTGCCTTTGAAAATTCATCTATATTCTGTGGTATAACAACATTTTTTCCGGTTCAAGGCCTTTTTGGATAAAAAGCACTTTGCGATTAGATTTATATGTTATTTTCTACATTGGCCATACATCGATGAATAATCATGTGTGAAATTATCATAACACAATGAAGTCAAAAGAATTATATCCATTGTGCGTCTACCCTGCACACACACAATATCTCTCTCTCTTACATAAAAATACATTACGACAAATGTCGGATGTGAGAAAACGGTGTTTTCTCTCATTGGTTGATACCATCATTAGGACCATGTACAATTCAATTTATCCGGGCCTGTGAACGGCACACGTAACATCTAAACTGTTCAATTTCATTTTGTAGAAAATGTTTGAAAAGAATGAAAACAAGTTAAAAGAACACCATCACTCAAAACTTCTCAAGCACAAGTCGCCAGAGTTTGTGCATGTTAGAAAAGTTGTCGTTGTTAAATGTCATATTTTATTTTGACCTGAATTCAAGAGCATTTTCCAGAGACTGAACGAGCAAGAGAGATTTCTATTGTTCTGCTTTTTTATCATTTTCATTTTCAATTTTCATCACATTCACATTCGAATGCTAAAAAAACTATTCTATTATTTTGCTGTAGGCAGCAGCCTCAATGACAAATGACATTCAGAATGGTATTACAGCCATGGAAAAGTTTTTACAGCAAAAACTTAATGGGAATCGCTCAATTCTTGCCGCTTTTGATAATCTTAACAGCCACTTTATCGATTCAGGTAACCGCAATCAAACGAAACGTAATCCACAGCCGAAATTATATCACAAAGGTATGATTCTTACACAATTCTATACATATATGACTCTTCTCCTTATCCACTCTCCCGCTCTTTTATTCTCGTTTTTTTTTTTTCATCGTCAAACACGTTCGCTTCATAAACCAAACTAAATAAACTGCTTCTCTATTTGATTTTCGATATTCAGGATTTCATCGAGTCATCACTTGAAACTATCCATGAAATAGCCACCGAAAAATTAGGAACAAAATGTGCCTCAAAAGCATTTCATACACTTCAAGTTCCATTGAACACAGCTCGATATGAGGGTACACGTCAAAAGGCCGACTTAGCTACGATTATTTTACAAGATTTCGGTGTATATACCCATGGTAGTAAGTTTAAATAGAAAAACTCTTCATGTAACATTACTTTTTGGAAGTATAAGCGAAATCAGTTTTTGGTCATTTGCCAAGTGTCCTTTGTGGGTTTTTTTTTTGTGTCATCGAAAACTATCCAAATATTGTTTGCCATTCATTTTCAGCGGGTTTGTGGGATGCAATTGCCAAAGGACTGCTGAACGATGAATTTATATCCTCGGCACGGGTGCTGGTAGTGAATATTACAAATGGAGCTTTAATCTCATCGGTGTGGTGGAATAAAAATATCGCCGGATTAAGCGAACCAAATCGAATCAACGAAGCTGGCATTCAAGTCGGTTTTGAACCAGACAAAGACTATCCGTGGTACGAAAGTGAAATCACATCGTCCAGTCGGTCGCCAAAATTCATTCCGAGTCCGGAGAGCTCGGCATATCGAGGCTGGTGGACATATCCATACTACTCGTGTAAACAGCAATGCTGGCTGCTTTCGTACAGCATTGCCATTCCACCAAAACATGGGTAAATAAATGCTTTTACAACAATTGTAGCCAATCAATTTTGTCATTTCTTGTACACTGCACACATCCAATATATCATGGATTTGGGAGATTTATTCAAAATTTGTCGCTGTGCGGTTGACACGCGCGTTTTTTTTTTTTCGTGCAATATATAAAGAGCTTAATTCGGATTATTCAATCATGTTAAAATGAAAAATGATTGAAAAACAAATTGCATGTAACTCATTTCTGACAGATGACTCTTTCTTTTTTAATTAACTGGTGTTGATTTCCCCATTCATGCTTTAATCGAATCCGGGTTAATTTAAAAACAAAAACACATTAATTCTCATTATATTATAAAATGTTTGAACAACCACAAAACATCAGGAAACACTTTTACCATTTGCTGTTAGCATGAATGAATTTATTATGCAAATCGGAAAAGCGAGCTTTTCTAAAGCATCATTCAAGGAGGGAAATTGAAGAAGAAACAAAAAATCTCTTTTTTTTTGTAATTTTCAGCATGAAAGGTTTCCTCAGCATTGATATCGATGTTTCGGAGTTGCAGGTGAACCAGTGTAGTTCACCTCGTTCAAAGGAGCCTTTATCAGCCAACAAATATTACACTGAAATATTCACTCAAATTGAGATTTTTCACGATTCAAACAGATGCCATTCGCACAGCATGTCGGTGAGCATAAAACAATTTCATTCAAAAAAAACAAAAAAACAATATTTTTCTCATAAAAAATTCAACGAAACAATTCAATTTTCTTTCTTCCCCTCCAAAAAAACACGAAAAGTGCGAGTATCGGCCGCCGTACGGCCGGAATACAGTATGGATCCGAGGCGCCTATCAATGTCTCTGTAAACCGGGATTTTATTCGGTGCGCCATCGAGATGGTTTTAATGGAACTGTAATGGAAGTGGCTTATAAAGAATTTCGAGACAATAAAAGCACATACTATGAAGATGTATTCCGTTGCACACGATGTGCTGAAGGTTGTGTGACTTGTTCAGATGGAACACCTTGCCTTGCATCATACAATTGGGCATTTCGAATATCATTACTTACCGTTTCGATTATGTGCGCCGTATTCACCATTGTTCTGTCGTGTTATTTGTACCATCATCGGAAAGTTAAAGTTTTTAAAGTCGCCAGCCCGATATTTCTTACGATAACCCTAGTGGGTTGTGCAATCATGTACTTGGAGGTAAATTTATGCAAATCAATTTATGTAAATGGTGGTTTATGTGGCGTCATTCGAAAATACAAAACCATTGCAATCAACTGACGACTCTTTTCTTCTTCTTCTTCTTCTAAACCAATATAGATGGCGGCAATTTTTCCATTCCTCGATATGACATCATGCACTGCAACCAAATGGACGAGACATATGGGCTTTTGCATTACTTACACCGCTCTCTTGATGAAAACATGGAGGTTAGCTTAAACGATTATACTCAAATCATTTAACACATCACAGAAACAAATATTCGAGTACGGTTACTCGAACTTGCGGTGTTAGCAGAGATTCTACCCTTCAAAATGAGTAACGCACTCTATTTTACTCTATTTTTGGTGTTAATTTCATCCAAGTGAACACATCATAGTGAAAGAAGAGATACATGCGTACTCGAATATTTGTTTCTGTGATGACAAACATTTCAATTTCATTTAAATAACTGCTCCCTTTTTCCATTTTCCATGCTCTACACAGGGTCTCACTTACATATCGTGTTAAGGTAAATTGTTTTGAAAATAAAATAACAATATTATGCTTTAAAATGGGGAAGAAAAATTGCGTACACATGTAGTGTAGAATATTTAATCCAGCACGTTCGGCTTTCTTAACATTTCCTTCCTGTCTTACAACGTGTTACATCAATTTTTCATCAATTTTGATTCTGTTTTTATTTATTTTATTTTTTTCAGTCTGCGCATAAGGTTAAACTCACAGACAAACAGTTGCTTCAATGGATGGTTCCAATTCTACTGGTTATGCTCATTTATTTAGGAACATGGACTTTATCAGCGACACCAAACGCTGAAGTGGTGAGTCTCGATTTTAATGAAATGCCACACATTACATATCCAAATGCCATCGTTACATTAAACGACTTTCTTCCGTTACATACAGATTGTCGACTCGAATGGTTTGAAGTTCAAGCAGTGCATTTACAATTGGTATGTATGAGTGAAATGTGATATAAGTAGTACACTTATACCATTTTCATGGATACCGGTTTTTGCATGAAAAACAAGGTATCCATGAAAATGGTATAAGTATCGTTATCTCTCTCTCTCCCTCCCTCCAACACACACACACACTGGACATATCTCTAAACAAAAGAGGCTTTTCTCGAAAACAAAAAAAAATGTGTAAGTGTGTAGGGCAACAAAAATCATTTTATTAAATTATTTATTTTATTGAATAGAGACCAAAAATTATAAAA